CCAGCGACCTTCCAAAGACTACTCGACACGGTCATTGGACCCGATTTAGAACCAAGAGCATTTAGCTACTTGGACGACATCGTACTAGTAACTCCAACGTTTGAGGAACATTTAGATCTTCTCGCAGAGGTCTTCAAACGGCTACGTAGTGCGGGCCTCAAGATCAACCCAGAGAAATGTCAGTTCTGTAAAACAGAACTTAGATATCTAGGTCACGTGGTTAATAATCGTGGTATCAGCACAGACCCCGAAAAAGTTCGGGCCGTATTAGAGTTCCCAAGGCCGAAATCTGTAAAGAATTTGCGGAGTTTCCTAGGACTCGCGTCCTGGTATCGCCGGTTCGTACCAAACTTTGCTAAACTTACTGCCCCACTGACCAAACTACTGAAGAAAAATATTCGGTGGGACTGGACTGACAAACAAGAGTCAGCGTTTAATGAGATGAAAGAAAATCTCACCAATGCACCAACTTTAGCATGCCCTGATTTTAGGGAAGAATTTCAATTGAGTACAGACGCATCCAATGAAGGAGTAGGAGCCGCGTTGACTCAAAAGCAAGGAGGCGTAGAAGTGGTGATAGCATACGCTAGTAGATTGCTTTCTGACAGTGAAAAGAAATTCTCAGCTGTGGAGAAGGAATGTTTAGGTATAGTGTGGGCCACTCGGAAATTCCGCCCATACCTTGAAGGGTATCGTTTTGTAGTTATAACTGACCATCAAGCACTTAAGTGGCTAATGCGAATTCCTGAACCAACTGGTCGTTTGGCACGTTGGGCACTTGAGCTACAACAGCTAGACTTTGAGGTGCGCTACAGGAAAGGTTCCCTAAATAAAGTGGCTGACGCACTTTCTCGCAACGCTCTCCCTGCAATCGACACTACTGAAATGAGTGAAGAAGTCGCTCAGATTAAAGAGATTTCCCCGACCTGTTTAATTAATACACAAGACCCAGAGGAACCGTCCGTATCTCACGAAGAACAGAAAGACTGGTACTTCCACATTCTTGGCAAGGTTCAGAAAAACCCAGATAGTTTTGAGAACTACAGATTAACTGAGGATGGCAAACTCCTTCGTAAAATGTCGACGCGAAATCGTAACAATAATTACGACCCTACCACAGAGTGGAAACTTTGTGTCCCACCAAACCTTCGTCCGATAGTATTGGAAGAAAACCACGATCGCCCTGAAGCAGGCCATCTTGGTATTAGGAAAACCTTGGCACGGGTAGCCGCAAGGTACTACTGGCCTGGTTGGCAATCAAGCGTCAAGTCACACGTCCGGAAATGTTTGTCCTGTCAAAAGTACAAGGTAGAACATCGCAAACCTGCAGGGAAAATGTATTTTCGACGACCTCAGGCTCCTTGGGTCACGGTAACCCTTGACTTGATCGGTCCGTTGCCGCGCTCGAAAAAAGGAAACAAATTCGCCCTAGTTATTCAGGACAACTTCTCTAAGTGGGTAGAAGTCGCACCACTGAGGTCAGCAACCGCTAAACAAGTAGTAAATCATTTCCGAGAACTGGTATTATTTCGGTATGGGGCACCAGATGTGATCATCTGTGACAATGGGACGCAATTCACCTCCAACATTTTTCGCGATTTAGCAAAAGAATGGAGCATTCGCCTTCAGTTCACAGCACCGTACTCGCCTCAGGAAAACCCGACAGAACGAGCAAACCGAGTCTTAAAAACGATGATATCGCAGTTCGTGAAAGACGACCATCGCGCTTGGGACGAGAAGCTCCCCGAATTCCGTTTTGCTATGAATTCGGCGATCCACGACTCCACTAAATACTCTCCCGCAATGCTGAATCTGAACAGAGAAATAAAGATGCCGCGGGCACTTTATCGTGATACTCTGCAAGGCAGCAACGATCCAATCGAACCCCCACTTGAGGCGGTCATACTGGAGCGAAATGCTCGTATGAACGCGCTAATAGGGAAAGTAAAGGAGAATCTGGAGAAAGCGTACCAGAACCAAGCTCGATACTACAACCTCCGCCGCCGTGACAATCCGTTCAGAGTTGGCCAGAGGGTTTTAAAAAGAAATCACGTGCTTTCTTCCGCAGTAGACGCTGTTGCGGGTAAGCTAGCCGCGAAATATGAGGGTCCGTTCGTGATATCAGACAAAGTAGGCGCAAACATCTTCATGTTAACAGACGAAAAGGGGAAGCCCGCGGGGCATGTCCATGTAAAGGATTTGAAGCTTTTTCACGACACATAAAGCACCTCACCTTACACTTTTCTCACACCAGCAGCAGCTTGCATATAAGTACCTATACCGCTGAACATTCTCGAAGCCAAAGAAAACGTATTTTTTCTTTTTGGTCATTTTCTTTTTACTTTGTCCGAAGTGGGGAGGGAGTGTAAGGGTTCATAAAATTCGTGAATATTTATAATCAAACTAAACCCTTACTGGCAGAATCGCCTCGCCAATTCACCGACGTCAAGTTTCAAAATGTAAACAAAAGAAATTAGCAGATGACACAAGTTCAGCAACAGCTGATCTTGTGGTTCACCGCCGTGCCACCGGGCCGCGCATGAGTCGCCCGCGCCTGCGCAGGAACCCCAGCCACAGCGCTGGATGTGCGCGGCGCTCGCAGAGACAGTGAGTCGGGGTCGGCGAGAGTCGACAGTCAGCAGGAAGCAGGAGCAGTGGCCTGAGCAATTAGGCAGAAGACGGACGCCCGACTCTACACTCTCGCTCACGCCAAGTAAGTGGACGCCATTCGCCGTTGTTAATATCCTAGGGCGCCTAGGATAACTCGACCTCACTCGCTATCGTTTATTTCCTGTTAATTAATTACGCTATTTAAGTCAAACGTCCGCGGGAAGTTTCGTCTTAAATTTAATTGAATTATTAACAGAGATCGATTTATTTAAACCGGTGAATATCTTTATCGTTTTACTATAACATAGAGTGTTATCTGTTTTGTTAAAATAACTCTGTAAATATATAACGATCAGCTTTGATTTTTGGAATATCTTAATTTCGTTCAATACATAACTTATAGACCGTGAGTTCAAAGAAGTAACGGTCAGAACGAGATCCGCCCGGTTATAATTCCTTTCTGTTTTAATTGTGTTGTTTTATTTGTATTGTTTAAATCTATTCAAGTTCGATCGGTTTCGGTCACGCAAGGTGGCTTTTCATATTCGTGTGTTTTTTTGTTTGCTTTGTTTATCGCGTAGGTCCGTGAGAACACGGTGTTACCGGTACCTAAATATAATGTGTGGTGTTTAGTTTGTAGTCAATGTTGTTCGTAATTACTGTAGCAGCACTTCAGCTGTGAGGTATTTTATCTATGGGAATAAGAGTTAATTAATAGTGGATTTATTAGAGTGATTTTAATACTTTGTTGGCTTCTTTACTAACTAACCCGCTTTAATTTGCTTGTACATATTTCAGAACTATACTAACCATTGTAGCTATTCATTATCTTTTATACTAGAACCAGTGCACAGTAGTTATGTTCTATGTCGTTGCTTAGCCGCTATTAAGTGTTAATGTTCTATGTAGTTGCTTTACTATATTTGCCACTTCATTATTAATTATTCATTTAGCCTTCCACTAATTATTGATGTGTTGAACAATATGCATTTAAATATTCTAACTCATGATACGACTCCGCTACTAACACACTAACCTTAGAAATTGCTTCAAATCTTAGCATAACGCTTAACCTTTGCTTAACCTTTGACTATTAACGCTTAACTAAGGCTTTGGGGATTCGTATTGGCTTTGGGAATTTTAATTCGCCGTGACGTTAGATAGTTAAGCCCCAACTTCTGTGTCCATTCTTCACCATTTCCTCGATTCCTGGACTGTTGCTAATTGAGTGATCTGTGTATCGTATGTGTTGTGTGTGTGCAGCTAACTGCTTTGGTTAGCTGTAGTTTGCTAAGTAGCTTTTCTTCTTTCTCTATTACTTCGGGCACACCGGAAATAAGTTAGATTTAATTAGCACTTAAGCTCTTAGCTATAAGTCTCCTACTCTGTCACTTTATGACTATGAATGTTTGTTGCTTGCAACAAACTTTTCTTTCTTCTTTCTCTATTACTTCGGGCACACCGGAAATAAGTTAGTTATAAGTTAGCTTTAACCTATTCTGGAAAACCCGGAAATAAGTTAGTTATTAGCTAGATTTAATCTATTCCGGAAAACCCGGAAATAAGTTATTTATAAGATAGCTTTAATTACTTCGGGCACACCGGAAATAAGTTATTTATAAGTTAGACCTAAGCTATCCCGGAAAATCTGGGAATAAGTTAGTTTTTAGTTAGGCTTAATCTATTTGAAATAAGTCTTTGTGTGCTCAATCTGTCTGTGTGTGTGTGTGTGTGTGTGTCTCGTATGTTACTCTTTCTATAACGACCCTTTTCCGCCCTACTCTGTATGTTCGTTTGCACCTTTCCATATTCCTACTCTCTCACGGGGCTTTGAACTAGTCCACTCGCCCGAAACGCATTGTATTATTTTAAATAATAAAGACGCATCTAAACTAATTCTGCTCGGTCCGTGGCGCATGGACGTAGGGTATTAAATTAAATAAATAATTAACACTCCACCGAGGAGGTTGTGAACAGAGTCGCGCACGAAGCTATAACTTCGAAACAAAATATCGCCCTCCCTTTTTTATTCACTCGTTTCCTGGCAATGATGAGGCACGAATAAAGCCAAGAGGCAAAATATTCCCGCCTGAGCCAGGAAAACGACGTTAGGAGACAAAAGCGGGAAACTCGACCAAAATTGACCCCCGGAATAACCCGGCTCGGCTAGGCTATCAGGGACGCGTAACGCCCCGACCCGACAAATTAACGAAACACACCCGGAAGCGGGTTACAAAATCCTTAATTAAATTTAATTCTGTCCCAATGATGGGTAATAGGGTAATCTATTTCCCCCCCAAATTTAAGGACCTATCTGTCCCTAGTGTTTGGTTAATAGTACATTCAAATCACTCTGTTTTGTTTTTCAAACTATTCTCACTGTTACGCAGACTACAACTGGACCTCAGGAGAGTTCTCGTCTTGGACAGAGTCAGTATGGCCTGAGCTGAGTCTACGCATGTTCCTGCGTCCGTCACACAGCCAGGAGTTGAACACTATGATGGTTGGACTCGTTGTCCTGTTTCTCTCGTTCCTATCCGTCTACTGGGTCAACCGTAACGCTGATGAGCTTTTTAATCCTCTGTAAGTAGGGATCTTCCTATAGTTCCAAGTTGGAATATTTCTAAGAGATATTCCCATAGTTAATCAAGGAGAAAGTCTTAAAAATAAATATTTTATGAGTATTTTCCTTGTTTTAATTACTTTTAATTCTGAGAAAATATTAAATATATATTTTGACTAGTTAGTAATCAGAAATCCTATACAGTAGAGTCCCGCAAACTCGGCACTCAATAACCCGGCAGTCTGGATAACTCGGCCATCACCTGGCTCAGAAAATTAGTGATTTTTTTGAGTCCGAGTTAAACATGGGTTCAAGTCAAATCATTCACAACTCGTACTAAGGATTTGTTGTACTATATCTGATGACGTGATACTGACTTGTAATATAAATATAAATAAATAAGGCAGCTAAAAGGAATAAAAATTGTATTGTTCTCATTTTTAACCCTAGTTCCCGATAACCCGGCATTTCACAAACTCGGCACCCTTCCAGTCCACATTATGCCAAGTTTGCGGGACTCTACAGTACACGTTTTCTACCAGCTGTCTCACTAATCTGTATATCAGGTCAGGTGGGAGTAAATGCCTTAATTATTATAAGCTCACAATTTTAAGCTATCGTAAAACGAACGATCATCGCAGTTTCAAGTGCTTAGTAATCATAGTTCAACGTTTCCAAGTTGTCTAATTACGAAGCAGGTAAAGTTCCGACAAAGTATACTGTAATTCCAAGTAGGCCTAATCTGAACTCCTATGCTTTGCTTTTATACATTGAAATTTAAAGCGAACTTCATGTTAGTTTCAGGAATAATTTGTTTAAGTTTTTATTGTTTAAAATAAATATGTTTTAGGTATAAAGTGTGTTAGTTACATATTCCATGTCATGATGTCAGGATCAGAAGTTTAGTTCTTTCAGTTGCTGAAAACTGTAATCTTTCACTTTTTACTGCATAATAAATTTGTTGTTATGTTTGCTTGTTTTTTTTTTTTTGTGTTTGAGTTTTGAGATTTAAATTTGGGATACGATTCTTTAAGTTCCAATTACAAGATTAGAAATTTTGGGGTTTGAAAAGTATCTAGCAAAGCAAGGGGTGAGCCGGTACAGTGGTACAAGGGTTGACTTTACTTATAAAAAGTAGTGGCAAGTACCAGGATTCAAACCCCTCAACATAGCTGCCTAAGTCTGAAGTCCGTGGCGCTACAGATTGAGCCACTGACTCGCCTAAAATCTATGTGTGCATTATATGCGTTTTCAAAATATTCTACATGTTTCGCTTGAGTAAATATTGTTCATAACATTATGAAATGAATCTTATCATTTATACCTTCTTGAAAGACCTCTTTATTTGTAATGCCTATTTGTTGTGTGGGGCTTGATTCAGCCAAATAATGTTTTAGGGTAGCAAATGATATGCCGCGGGACACTACTTACTTACTAGAGCAAATGAAAGACTCAGTTGTGTATGGAAACGTGGTATGTATTGCATTTTGGAAAATAAGTTGAAACACTTAACACAGCTCATGCCTGGTGGGGTTTAAGGTTTACACTTTTAGAGAGGTGATTCACAGAAGTTGTCGATTTAAGCGTTTTGTAACATAGAGTAAAATTTAGGTTTCATTGACTACCATGAAACCTATAATCTCACTCTTTTACAGACAACGCTAGTCTTTGTAACTTCTGTGAAAAGTGCCTATAGAGTGTCCCTTAGCAATCAGATAGTAGTGGTGATGGTATTAAAACTTATCCAGCTAAATTATAAAAATAGAAGGTGAAATCTAAAGAGTTCTATGTCTGTTTATTGATTTTTCTTATACATTATTTCTAAATTATGTTCAGATTTGAATAAACAACTGTCCTCATTTATCTGGTGTAAAAATGTATCTTTCGATGTATTTTAAATATTTGTTTCCTTTTTTGGAATTAGTTTTTCTATTAAGGTTAAGGTGTATCTTTGTAGAAGAGCTTTTAAAACTGTTGATGCATGATGACCTTATATTGTTATAAATAAATTTACAAAATTGCTGGTCAGTTTCATTTGCTTATAAATGTAGATTTAAAGCTATTTTTGTTAACTAACCGCATGCAATTTCCTCTGCTAATTTTATAACAATATTTTATTTAATCGTCCTCTTGTATACTACTAGGCTATCCAACAATTTTAAAATGTTGCTAATCTATTACTGTTAAGTTTGATTATCTTGTCTTATTTATGTTTTATATCATATTCAAAGTTAAAACAAAATTAAATTTTCTATTTATTTCAAATTCTGAGATGAAAATTTTAGTTCTGAGGGAGAATGGTTTAGAGTTTTATAATAGTTCTCAAGGTATTTTTTATCACTGTAAGAGCTAAATTATGATTTAATTGATGAAAAGTAATTAAAAGGCATGATTTATTAATGTTTCAACAAGTTTTCCTAAATACAATACAACATACAACAATGCTGTTTTAATTTAGTCTGGTTTAGGGGGAGCGAGCAGGTCTAGTAGTTAGAGCGCAGGACTCCGGTTCCTGGGGTCCCGGGTTCGAATCTCGCCAAATCACCAATGGATTTTATCTAAGTGATAATGCCGTACCCCTAGGTCTAGCCTAAAGTAATGTGAAAACAATTCCGGGCTCGTACTTAGCGTCCTAGGACAAAAAGAATTTAGTCTGGTTCAAACTAGTCTCATTTATGAAGTTGTCATTCATACCAACTTTAGTCTGCTGTTAGAGAAGGAAATGCATTTAACATTAGAATTAACTAGGGATGGACGAGATTGGATTTTTAGTTCGAGACGAGACGAGACGAGATTTTTTATTTCTCATAAAATTTCGAGACGAGATCGAGACGGGATTTCCCTTCTCATACACAACGGGAAATGCACGTTCAAATTGTTACCTGATTTTGTAACATTGTTAGATGACTGTTTAAATACAAAAGTAATGATAATAGCCAAGAATATTTACAATCTTTTATTAAAAAACATCAGCATAACATTTTTTTACTAATCACCCCTAACTTATTAAAAATGCCTACGATTAGGAAACATAGTGATATCAGTTAGGATAGAGTTCAACTTATCCTAAAATAAAATAAATCATAAAATAAAAGCAATATTAATTTTTATAAAATAGTTACTTGTTTTGACTTTTTATAGTAATAAAACATTCTACATTTAAAGAATTAATTAATTAAGAACGCCTTCGCAAAAGAAACGCAACTACAACACGCTCCTGTATTGCGGGTATTGCATTGACTTTCTGCAGGCGTTTTTAATTTTTTTTTTTTTTTTTTTTTTTTTTTTTTTTTTTATTCTCGTCTCGATAAAAATCTTGGCCAAAAAGAAATCTCGTGTAACGAGATTTAAAATTTCCCGAAATTTTGAGACTTGACCATCCCTAGAATTAACTAAGCTGTGTTATTAGTACCTTTTACTTATTAATACCTCTTCCTCTCAAAAAAGCATGCACACTTCGCCAAATGTAAAACTATACTATAAATCAAATGGATTCTTCCACAGCCTAGGTAAAAACTATTCTTTTCTCACCTTATGAGGCCACTGAAGCCTAAGAGAATTTTTTTTGTATTGCCAATAGCTTTTTGCGTCTAAAATCCAGACGTTTTTGGGGTTACGTTTGCTTACGAAATTCTCATGTCTTTCATTACTTGGCCACTTCACCCCATTTTAGAACGTCACAGAGGTCTGCACAACACGAATTATTTGCTTTTGCACTTCTTACTGAGAGTCAACAGATCTGCAGGTAACACTATAAACTCTCGGTTACTCAGACAATTCAAACTTAACTTAATCTTTTAGTTTGTATTCTCCCCCTTGGTGAAAACCAGACTGAAAATTACATATTGTTTTGTTCAAAAAAAGTAATTAGGTTTTGATATCATACAAAGAATTGACCTCCATCCTACCCTTCCTATCCTGACAATCCCATCATTTTCACTGCCCATGAACTGATTGGTGTGTCTCCTAATTTTACCCCCACTCCACTGTCCACAGCACTTGTGAGCGCTGCTAGGATCACGACGCAAATCTCATTTCTCTCCAGACGCTGGACTCGAGTCGCAGCGTCGCCCTTTGACCTCGGCGCGAGATGTTGAGATTTGCCTCTCGGATTGGACCTACTTGATCCCCCCCACCCCCCTCCACTGTGATACTGTGTTGAGAAACTGTTGATTAAATCAGTTTTTCATGTAGTTTCTAAATATTGGTATTTAATTAATTTAGTTTGTAGTGTTTTTAATCATTAAATTGTCTACTCCTGGTTATTGGTTTAAATTAATGTAGCCTACAGTATATTTTTACCACATGCTATAGTTGTTACAACATGTTTAGTGGCAACTGTCCCAACTTCAGTACATAATAATATGGCTAGTCATAGGTAAAATTTAACATCAAACAACAAACACTTTGACGAAATATTACAAAATATGAAAATATAAAAACTTCAGTGGCAACTAGCTATGTTTTTTTGTTCTGTTTAATATTTTCACAATGTGTTTGGTGTTTTAAGTCAAATTTTACCAATGAAGAAACAAATATCTGAAAAAACGTGTTGTAACAACCTTTTGGATATTGTAATAATGTAAATTAATATTTTTAACTAACTTAAAATTAAATTTTAACCCAGTTACTGTTTACAAAATTAATGATACATTTTTAGTGATTCAACCTCAAAATGTAAGTAACTTACTACATTTTTAGTCAGTCCAAGTTCAAGATCATATTCGGCATGGGCTTATTTGCTATGCCGATTTGATCATAACAATTAACCAAACTTATTTAGGTAGAAATTATAACTTACTGCACATTGTGGAAGTTTTTGTCTGTCTTTCCAAGATTTTTGGATTCACCTTAGCCATTTAATTTAACTGTACCTACCAAACTATTTTTCTACATAGAAAATTAATTATTTTTTGGGTCAAAATTAGGCCTATGCTAATGCTAGTAAAGAACCTGTATGGAAACTTATTTTCTATCTACAAATTTTAGACCATTAAAATGAACTTTGTTGTTAGTAATTAACTATTTTGTCACAATTGATTAGTAATTTTATTGCTTCTGCATTCATCGTATGATTGTTGTCCTGGTACGCTACAACACAGCTTTTAAGTGTTAATGAACTTAAGTTTGGTTGCAAGATTTGAAGCAAAGTTACTTCTTGACATAAACTGAATATATGTACATAAGCATGACTTTAAGAAACTATCAGTGTTTGTGATGTTATATAGTCCCAAAATGAATAGGTATGCTTTAAATGTCTGTACAGGAATATAAATTTCTTATCGATATGGTCTGGCTAATTCATGCATTTATTTTTTATTCTGATGATGAAAACATTACAATATGCTGATTTTAAGCTTCAATTTTGTTTAAGTTGTAGACTGTGTTTACCAGCAAGAATGTCTGTAAAATTTTATGTATGTCCTGATACCAAAACAAATTAATAGCCTACAATTCAGACAGCAAAATCAATTCCTTAACTTAAAAAGTAAAATTTTTGTAGACAGCAGCACACTCGGTAATGCCAGACATGAAACCTTAAACATTGTCTTTCACTGTTACAACTGAGATGGAAAGTCTACTTTATGTATCTATTGTATGTAGACAATGTTGCTAAATGCAATGAATTTATTAGCTAGTTTGATTTTTTAGGATAAACTGTATATTTTTGTAGTTGAACAAAGATTTTATGTGTTTATATAATCTGTGTTAAAGTAACTTATTTACTTTAGTACTCCTTAGTTAGGTAGGATTAAAATCAAGTAAATTAATTCTGATTACCTATTTCAGCTCGTTACGTAGTACTTTTTCTGTTTGAAATTTTTGGTATGTAAATAAGCAGGTAAACAAAAACATTACATAATTATTAATTTTCAAAAAACAATATAAGCAGTGCTTTTGTCCTATTTTCCATATTGATAGGATACAAATTTTTCTTCCCACAGCTTCTGTAGTCCAAACGAACTAAACCTTTAGCTATGTACTTTTTCATTGTATTGTCAGTGTACAGTTTTATAAAATAAATAGACTTAAAATTATACGTGGTATTCTATCTATTAAACAATGACATTTTAAGCTCTATTGTATAAAATGATTTGAGAAATCTCTCTTTTCATTAAAGTATAGAGGTCGTGTTATAGTATATTACGTTACTAGTCCTGAAAATAAGTGTTTACCGGACGAGTGTGGTCGTTCCCGTGCGAGACGAAGTCGAGTACGGGATTACCATACGAGTCCGGTACACACATTTTGGACGAGTGACGTACGATAGTTTGCGCCATACTACTAAATCTGGACAAATCCTTATATATTTCCACCAACTAAAGGAATAAAAATCTCTAGTCATTGAGAGGTTATGTTTTTGTTTATAACCACTCATTGCCACCTAAATACAGTACAATCAGCTGATTGGTGTCCGGTAAAACTCATTGCAGCACAGTAGTACGCAATGAAACCCCATTTGAATAAGCTGGCGGCAAACAGCTGTTTTCTGGACTAAATACTTGCGTGGGAAGTTCGTCGAAATAATGTAGTGTGGCGTAAAAATAATTTATATAAATAATACATGAGATAATAATTGTGTATTTATGCACTTATAGTTATGTTTCCTAGTATATACATACATGTACTGTACATTCACTTTTAGCGAGTTTCCCATATAGGGAATAAGCTATTTTATGTTTGCATTTTATTTTTTTTATTGTTGGTTGATTAAAAAAAAATATCCTTATGGATGTGTGCAATCTTTTAACATTAGGCCTACTTCTTAAAACTGAAAAACTTGTAAATAAATATTTATAACTCAATTTGAATACTGAATATTTTTCAAACCTGTGTTTCTATTCTAGCTTACCCATTTGAAAAGGAATTAATGCGCTGCCTGCAGCACCCTCTGTCGGCAATTAATTTTACTGATTTTGTAGACTCTTACTCTAATTGTTATAGAAAGAAAAACTTAGGTAATAAATTAATGATTGTTTCGCCATTTTGTTCACAGTAAAATTATCAACAAAAAAGTGGTAATTGGATAGTCAAATTATAAAATAAAATTAAAAAAATTAAATTATAAAGATTATAAAAATGAAAATGTTAAAAACATTTTTTTTAAAGTAAACTTGATTTACAAATGTTAAGATTAATCCAGACACCAAATTGCACTACTATTATAAAGTTTGATTGATTCCCTACGTGTAAAAATTACAAGTTGGTAACTTTTATAAGTAATAACATAGAAAAAAATTGTTTGTTTTACCTGACCACACCTTATTTTGGGTGATACAGTAGACCCCCTCTTAACCGACATCGTATTAACCGATAATCGGATTATTCGCCTTCGATCGTAAAATAATACAGTGTGTTTTAACCGACCTTGCTTTGAGAGCAGTTCAGTTTAACCGCCGCTTTCTAGGAATCTCGTCATTTCCGTTCCCACGCTGGGTGATGAGAACTGAACCATAGCTTATCTCCACAGGATATGACTCAGAATAAGTTATTTTGTATTGATCACAAAAAATATATCATTTTGTCATCATTGTTGGTACATCTGATCTGATTTGTTATCTGTGCGGCAAATTTATAACATCGTAAAGTGCGGTACGATTTTGAGAACTGATTGTCTTATCGCTGGAGTAAACAAACAACGCAACTTGTAGGGAGGGCAAGGAAGGTGGGTTAACCACTCCAAGGTCAAGATAGTTCTTGTGCCTCTAGCGTCCAGTGAAAGGCTATAAATAAACATCTTGTCTTGTAACAAAATGGTGGTTGCTTGTATCTTTAATTTCGACAAAAGGTTCTGTACTGCATTTCGATGGATTTGGAAAACATCAATTAATACTCTACAGTACTAAATTTATTAAAATAGGAATTTTTATTGACTCTTGCCTAGTACTATTATCTATTCCACTGAAAGTAGGCCTATTTGACTTAACTGTGTTTTGTGTTTATTTGTGTCTTTTCTATCAATACGAAAAAGGAGATAAAAGTAGTTTATTTTATCAAGTATGACTTCAAAATGATGATTACCTATATAATTCCAAATGAATAGCACTTCATTTAACCCGTTTTAACCAACCTTTTGAGTTATCCGGCCTAGGCCCGGTCCCCATTAGGGTCGGTTATGAAGGGGTCTACTGTATATGGTTTCTGTTATTCGCAAAAATAAATGAGTAGCTACGCAAAACAAGAAGCAAGATATTTATTAACCTCATAAAAGTAAGAATTAACTAAAAAGGGGGAAAATAATAATAAAATAACTAGTGGCGGCGACACAAGTGGCACTTGTAAGTCAGCCTGCAGCTGCCGTACGAGTAATGCTCGTAAGTCGGTACCAATGGGTTAATCTCACATTACTTAGCTTTTCTCACCCTGTGTGAAACTTTGGTCATATTGGTAAATAACACATTTATCTTTTATTAAAAAATTTTAAAAATCATAAAATTTTCAATGGAAAAATTTACATGATTGGGCATATTTTCCCATATTTTTAAACAATCAGACAGTTTAGTTTTAAAGTATTTTACTACAACTTTTGAACTAAGTATACTAGAAAGGAATTTTGTTCTCAACACTGATAAAATGTATGCTAACTTATTAATTTTTCTACTGTCACCCATAAAAGTTGGCTTCCTTGCACTGATTATAGAACAGAAAGCTGCTAATTGCTGCATTTAGGCCTACTTACTTTGTCACACCGTTTATACTTTAGCGCACACCAGTATTCCAACCAAACAACACAAAACAGCGTGGTTTCATTAGTAATCTGTGCGCTTAGAAATAGGTTGGCAACACTGATACTACTACTATGATCAGCTGATTGACAATTGATAATTTGATTTAACCTGTCATTTCGTGTTTATATTCTATTTTTGTTCTTTGCTTGGTTTGAACATAACCTAAAGTGTAGTATTTGAAAGAATAATTATAAGTGGGCCTAACATGTTTAAAAATAATGAACTCAGTGAATATATGTGTACACCAAAAGAAATGGCAGAAACTGCAAAACATGTTTCATTAAACCTGTTACCTGAAAAATCAAGAAAGAAGTACCTATGAAAGAGCATACAAACTATTTTTTTTCTTGTTGTGTAAGTAAGTTACAAAACAATCAAACGTGATTAAGTCTTCAATACTTGTTTACTCTGTTTATACTGATTATTACTATTTGTGTACTCTTGAAAAGAAGTAACACTTAAAGATAATACGACTACAATCAGCTGGTGCAGTGTTTCCCATTCCGTTCAACACTTGGGTTTAACCTAACCTAAAATCGTGTTTAGTGTTTGAAACACTAATTATTTATATGCTTAAAACCCCCCATACACGGGCGAGCATGCTCGTGACGGTGTTGGCGGCAAACATGCTCACTCGTGTGTGGGATCCGCGAGAATTCGTATCAGCGAACATGTTGGTCTCGGCTCGTCGCCATAATATAGTCACCACAAATGGCCACAACTGCATTAGCATCCATTTGAATTTGATCAAAATAAATTAATTTAATATTAAATTTAAATAAATAAACACAACTTGACTGTCACAGCTCAAGAGAAGCAAGAGTAGGCCTACTGGGCGGTAGCGGCGAGCATGTTCTCGAGCATGCTCATCCGTCTCTTGACACCGAGCATGTTCGCCAACATGCTTGCGAACATGCTCGCCCGTGTATGGGGAGCTTTATAGTGACTGTAGGAAAAATATAATGTGTATCACGAGCGCAAATGACCTTGCTGCACTCGAGAAACATTAAATATATCTCTCGAGTGTAGACTTTGCTCACTAGTTAAACAAATAATAACTATTTATTTTTTGTTTTTACAGTCCCAAAAAAGAAGAGAAAGGAATAGAGAGAACACATTGTGAGGCTGAAGAGTTCTTTTGAAGAATTGCATTTTTTATCTCTAAGACTTTAATGTTGTCGTTAATTATGTAAATGTAGATAAAGCAAAAATTACCATTGGAAATACACAAAGTGTTATAATGATATATTTGATTTATTTTATACAAATAATTTATGTACATTTCCACATTTGGTTCAGTCGGCAAAGTATAAAACATAACAATCTGTATAAAAAATATACAACTTAAATCATTTTATAAATTTGCACAGTGGGAGGTATTACTTCCCTTTCTTTTTATGAAATGATTTCTTACTTCCTCCACCAAGTTTTTTCTTGAAAGGATCTTTTTTGCGGTTGCTGTTCTTCACTTTATGACGTATGAAGTCTTTTAACATTTTACGCTTTTCAGCAAACTCTTGGTCACCCTCATGTTCTTCGGGCAGTTTTAAAAATTCTTCTGCTTCTGCAAAAAAAAAACAAATTTTTTACTTATTGTCTATAATTATATGATTACCATGCAACGTTGTCTAAACTAAAAATCACTTGTACACTAATAATTTTAAAATACATAACACTTAGTCTATAAAAAAACATTTGAATGAAGGAATGCCAACAACAGTTGCAACAGTGAATAAAGTGGTAGGTTCAGAACAACCAACTGACTGCATTATCTAACACTTCGGTCACCATTGACAGTCCCATATCACTTAACACTGTTACGATATGATGTTACATTGTTTTTAACATATTTTGCACATGCCATTACGGTAGGTCTTTTGTGACAAACAAATGAGTTTAAGGACAAACAAAAATAAAAGCCTTACCCTTTAGTCGAGAGTCATTTTCAGTAAAAAAGAATGTTGTCTTCCAAGAGGGAATGGTAGGTTTTGTTTTCAAGCTTTTGACCTTTTCTTCTTCTTCTTCGGAGTCAGATTCACTCGAGTCGTATTTGAATGGATTTTTTGTAGCGTACTTTAATTTCTTTACACTTTCACTTCCAGATTGTTGTTGTGTATTTGTATCCTCATCTACAGAATGACAAATTAAATATGTATATATTACTATCATAATGGTCATCCTCGAACAATTTAGGGTTAAAGTTATTGAAACTTAGGATCATCTACAAATATTGTAGGATTGACATGTTTTCACAGTACAGTACACTCCCGATAAACGGAGGATGTTGGGACCGAGACTACCTCGGTTACCAAAAATCTCGGATAACACGGAGGTGTCTTAGATTTTTAAGGTTAGGGATTACCGTACCACTACCACATTAAGAAGTCAAAAACCAAGGCAGACACAATCAAGTCAATATTAAAACATTGTAATGACAAACACGACAAAATTGCGATACAAGGTGACAATGCCCGAGCAGATATGCTAACTGCTTTTGTTGACGTTTTCTTTCAGACGTTTGTTGTCTAGCTAACCAAAAATGGCGGCCAAACGAGTACAATGCAAGTACTGTGTGCGATTTTCATTTCCTAGGTTATTGCGGATCATTTTTACGTTAAAATAACAACTATTATAATTATTTAAAGTATAAATTTTAAGAAATAACAAATTACGTAATTATTCATTCTGTCTGAAAATAAAAATATATGTATTTAGGCCTAAAACTACCTAGGATAACCCATGGATCAGATAACCGAGGCTCGGATAATCGAGAGCGTACTGTATATATTAACAACAATTTAAGAGTACAGTAATACAAAATGTGTCATTCGATGCTTTTGCCAATAGTTATGGCTCTAGCATATTTAAAATATCTTATTATTGGTTCAACAGATAATCTAATCAACATGATAGGTAAAAACTGCAAATGCCCAGGTATTAAATGACTTAAAATTAAATCCAGCATATTACAAACCTTTAGATCCAAACAACTTTAATAGGCTGAAATCAGATTTGTTGCCTTGCTTAAGAACCTCTTTTAAATCTTCTTTCACATCATACACCTTCTCCTTGGATACTTGAGGTCTACTCTCTTCATTTAGTAAAGTGTTACGTTCTTTCTTTGACTTTTTCGTTTTATCTTGTGGTTCCTTATCCTCAGAAGGTTTTTGAGGTTTTAATAAATATTTTTGGTGATCTTCTCTTGTAGGGTCAAATCTTACCATTAAAGATCCATCAGATCTGTAAGAATAACATGGATCAGTTGGTATTTTTTTCTCAGCAATTGGTCTACTTTAACTTCAATTTTTAAACAGGTTTATGCTCAATTATTTTCAAAACGCGCAAATTCTATTACTCTTGAAACTGACCTATGTGTTTATAGCTATCATAAAATTAAAAATATGCCAACTGGGCTGAGAACCAAACTTTCCTCTGAACCAAAAGTGAAAAACAGTCAGTAACTTATTGAACACATTAATCATTTACAAATTATGTTTCTATGTTAGCAATTTTGCTGCGATACCATGACCGGGATTATTTTGAATTTTAAAAAAACAAATCGCTGACAATTTAAGGAGTTTCTTTAGAATGGGATAAACTCTGAGACAAATTTAATGTAATATAAAGCTGATATTTTGTCCTATTATAAACCTTATTTTTTATAGTAGTAGATTAAATAGAAATAAAAACCATTAACAATAAAACAGAGAGCATAATAACAACCTGAAGAGCTTCAGTGTGCTGACTGATTAAATGTCCTAAGAGTCTTCATCACCTGCGGACTAGTTGTGTTTTGCAGGGTCATTATGCACACTATTTAAAAAAAATCGTAAGTACCTTAATGAATACCAAGTATGAACGAGCCTATAGAGCACCGAACTTATCTACCATTGAACATATCGTTCTCATTCTCATATAACTGGAATTACTGCTATACCTATTCAGATTATATATATTGTCTTAGAGAGTCAACCATAGAGCGATTCAGCCTTACAAAACAATTGTGGCCAAGTGTGTTTATAATATCTGCCTCAGCTGATATACTACTTATAAAGATGAAATGTTGTTTCATGTTTAATGCTACACACTATCATATTTTATCATACAACAAAACCATGACCAATAACAAAAAAAATTGACTCCATAATATAGGCCTACCAGTACGCTTTATTATAACTAGGCCTATTTTCTATTAATTTGTTGGTTGAACTTAGTTATTTACATATTATTTCATTCTTAAACAATGTTATTCTATAATTTTATATTCTAATAGTCTGAAATCTATACTTATTTAATACGCAAGCAGGTTTTTTGTGTCAATTACTCCTCCGAAACTACTGAACCGATTGACATGTTTTTGGTGTCATTGGAAAGAACGTAACGTGAAGTTGTGCAGGAAACTTTCTTTTTAGGGAAATAATTAGAGAGAGAGGCCCTGGGGCCCTTTAAAGTTTCGTATTTCTCCATAAGGATAACATGTTAGATAATTTTTATTTACAGAAACATATGTTTGTTACTTGAAAATAGTCAAAGTCTACTACATAATAATTGTTGTGTATTATGACTTTTGATGTATACTACATTTCAATCAAGGATTGTGTACCTTAGAGTTTACCCATAATGGATCTTACTACTTTATTTTAATGCTGGGAATAGTACAATTTAGTTGAGAATAAGTTACCATGATTAAGAAATCTTTACTATAATAATTTATGTATTTAAAATCACAAATCTTTGACATTATTAATTCATTTGAAACTGAACAGCTGATCGACAAATCAAACAAATCATCTACTTCATGTGATGTGATTAGTGTTATTACACAAACATATTTTTTTAAATCAATAACTTGATTCTTTTTTACTTGTAGGTGTATTTTGCAGTTATGAAAGCACCAAACCAAGTAACTTTTATCTAATTTTCTTTATAAATCAACAGTATTAACACGTTCACTGCGTTATATATTTTCCCGCATTATTACACTGGTGCGTTACGAGATCTATAGGTCTCGTCCGCTATGATTACCCAGGTGCGATACGAGACCCTGAGATTACGTTGCGCAGTAATCTTTTGCGCATCATAACCTCAAAATAAATGGAGAGTGGGCGCTCTGTGTTTGTTTATTTGAACCAGTACAATGTTGACAATCTTCAGCCAGCCCAGGAACTGAATATGACGTCATTGTACGAGACCCCGAGATCTCGTATCGCACATTTGTAATACTTCATAATTTATTTGTATTTATTTACAATAAAACATGTGATTTCTATTTATTTACAATAATCGACTGCAATAAAATTAATATTTTATCACTTTATAGATATAAAATTAAACTTTTTATAATAATACGTTTTCTCATGGCTGATTCTAGGTTAAAAAATTATAAATGAATAATATGTTTGCACATTATTTATTCCATTACAATTTTAAAACATGGATTGCAATATAGTAAAAATGTGTAATATTATTATACAAAATAAAAATTCCAATGTTTTAAGTGTTGAATGAAAATATCTAAACAAATATACTGTAGTAATAAAATATTTTGTCAAATAAGCCTTTCAAGATTCTTATATTTTTCATACGAATAAAATGTTGATGTTCTCAAAGACACTGAATACTAAAATTAAAATTACACATGTTTCTCATTGAAACATTCCAGGCAAAAAAAGGGTTGGTCTGGACAGTCTTTGCAGAAGGTGTTCACTGTTTTGGTTTTCTTATCAGCCTCTCTTGAAGAGGATGTTTTCCTTAGTTTCTCATAGCATCCCCTGCAACGACGCCTTTTCTTCTTTCCCTCACCCTCTGATTTGCTGAGAGAATGAGCTGGCCTCTTTCTTTGTGGTGGTGTCATATGTCTTACAGGAGCCTCGTCCAGGCCCATTAGGCTTAAAGCAACTGATTCCCTAAACTTAAGCATAGGCATTTTGTCGTTGTTCAGCTTCCCGTAAATAACCCACGAGTTCACCAATGTGGTTCCCGTGATGAGCTCAAGGGCAACTTTTTTATACCACTTGAGATTTCTTCGTAACGTTGTGTAGTATGACGACATCTGATCACTGTAGTCAACTCCCTTCTTCACGTTATTATAGTCAAGCACACACTTAGGTTTCAGTATCGGCTCATTTGTTCTATTTCTTCTCCCTGAATTTACTAGGGTACTGTCATGATTAGGGGATGATGACACCATTGTCACGTTTCTTTTGTCCGTCCATTTTACCACTTTCGTACCATGCTGGCACTTAAATCCAATGCATTGGCCCCTTTTCAACTTAGTTTTCAATCCTTTAGGCAATCCCTTTCTGTTCACATTTACTGTTCCACACATCCTCGTTTTCAGTTCTAGGAGTTTTTCGACGATGGGTATGCCAGTGTAAAAGTTGTCAGTTATTAAGGTCCTTCCTTTGTTGAGAAATCCTTCAATCAGGACATCGTCACTTTCAAAATCCCCCATTAGATCTAAAACCACATCATAGGTGTGCCCATGGGGGCTGTTTGTGCTCTTCCCAGCATACAAAATCATTTTAAGTGTATAGCCGTCAACTGTACACAGCTTATACACTTTCACTCCATACTTATGGGCCTTATTCTTTATGTATTGTTTGAAAACAAGCCTCCCTCGCCATGGTATCATTGTTTCGTCTATTACAAGATCCTTGCCAGGTTCCAACGCATACATGTATGCTGAGTTGAGGTAATTCACAATTACTCTTATCTTAGCTAAACGGTCATTTTGGGCAGGAATCCGTTCATTATTCACAAAATGCCAAAACTTCTTTATCAACAAGAAGCGGTCTCTCGTCATGGTTTGTTTAATCAACGGGTTTCCATATAACGGATTCTTAGACCAATACAAATTGATGTGCGGCAGTTGAACTAGGCCCATACAAATCATAATACCTACGAATTTTTTCATTTCAGCAGATGTTGTGGGAAGCCAATCATTAGACCTTGATTTTGCAGAAGGTTGGTTAGATGATAAAAATTGAATAGCATACCTGTTTGTTTCTTGGGCCATGTAGTCCCAGAGCTCTTCGTCTAGAAAGTGGAGATAAATATCAATAGGTGAAGCCGGGTTGTCAACGTTAATGTTCACTTTTGAATTTCCACAAAACTCTTCAAAATAAACTGTCTCAGGTAAAGTAAAAGGTGATTTGTCTTCGACCCAACAGCACCCGAATTGGTTTATGTCAGGTCCTTCCGATGTGCTGGTACCACCTGAGGTCGTGATCGTGCCCCTACCACCTCCACCGACTGTTCCATCTTCCTCACCTCGTCCACCAACTGTTCCATCTTCGCCGCCTCCGCCGACTGTTCCATCGTCCCCGCCTCCGCCGACTGCTCCGTCGTCCCCGCCTTCGCCCATTGTCCAATCGTCTCCGCCTCCGCCGAGTGTGTGGTTGACAAGATGTCTGCCGGTTAGTTTACGGCGTTGGTCACAATCTTGACGAAATGTTCTCCCATCCGTCATCGCTGTCACATCCATCTCGCAGTTGTCATCTTCATCGTTTTCTCCATCGCCACCTGACGAAGCATCGTCCGATGATGGTACATAGTCAGGATCTTCAATATCGCTTCCATCGAAATCACATAGTTCTTGCTCATCGTCACTACTTTCGGATAATGCACTACTAGGTACCGGCCCATCCAATCCTTCCGTAACCAGTTGTTCCAAGAAAGCACTATTACTGGCATTCACAACAATAAGTTTTGGTCGTTTACGCGTATTGTACACCTTAGCAGGATCGTCAGGGACTTGAGGGTCGTCAGGGTTGTCCTCATCGGACGAAAACATACTTACAAAAACTCAATAAACAGTGTACACACAGTTAACCACACTAAAACGCAATGATTAGGTTAGCTTTCAATATACCAACAAATAACCCTAGCGCTCTCTGTTGATGTTAGACTACTATCGCCACCTGTGGCGCTTGGAGCAACTATTTTTGATACGAGATCCAGAGGTCTCGTATCGTAATAAAGTAAAGGTTTATTACTTCAGTGCGTTACGAGATCTATGTATCTCGTTTGTTTCATGAATGCCAGCTGTTTCAGCAATAAAATTACATTATTTATGTACAAGTTTCATTTATTTACGATAATCGTAGGTCAAAATATCAATGTCGTAATTTACGGAAAAATAGCAAGTTGTCGGTCCCGCACCACGGGCTAGGTGCGATACGAGACCCCGGGATCTCGTAACGCAGTGAACGTGTTAATTAGTTACTACATAAACTTGACAAGTCAGGTAATTAATTGTCAGTAGCCTATGACAATGGGAAGAAGAGTGGGTCCTCGAAAACGGATGAAGGCGGAGACACCCATCTAGAAAATCCAACTGAGTTTTTAAATATAGAGGTCAGTGGATTGCCAAGACACTGATTACCAATAAAAGGGGGCAGTGGTTTTATTTATGAGGAATATTAATAGGTACTTACGTATTAAACGGAGGCCACCTAACCTACAGTTTCTTAACTTAGCTATGATAATACTGATTATTAGTAAACCTTCATTCGATGTTTTCACTATCAGCAAGTTTGGTTGGTTAGGTTAGGTTATGATAGTTTAATTTTATAACTGATATAGCTGACCAGACTCAGTGACAGGCGATGACAGGTAATGGCGCGCGCTCCGGTCAACGACCCTGACCTTGGCCTACTTGGAGGGGATTCTGCGAGTAGACACATGACTCATTTGATAACGCTCGACTCACAACAATACTAGAATAGTTGTACTACAACATCTATAACAATTTAACCCTCTATAAGTGCCGCGGCGCGTTTCGTAATGGTGGCCTCCGTTTAATACGTAAGTACCTATTAATACATAAAACGCAGAGGATACGCGTCCGGTAACCAGACGTGGATTAGGCGTCCGGCAGTTACTGTCATAACCTAACCTAACCAACCAAACTTGCTGATAATGAAAAAAATCAAATGAAGGTCCAATTCTCTTCATGACATAAAATTATAAATTCCAAAAGTTCTAACAAAAGATGTACAGTTAAGAAGAAATTACATTCAAAGCAAAATCTGTGACAAAAAGTTAAAGAAACCGATGGGTTTCGAACCAGGGACCTCTTGGATATCAGCCGAGCACTCTATCCACTACACCACGAACAACGCTGGCCAATCATCGTATTGTTGTGGTAATTTCGTTCTGGGACCCCACAACCCGGTGACGTCACTACCGGACGCCTAATCCACGTCTGGTTACCGGACGCGTATCCTCTGTGTACATAAAAAAGGGCCTCATTAATGGCACAAGGTTTCATGTGATCAGAATGGTTAACAACTTAATAGAATGTAAAGTCTTAACTGGAACAAGTGAGTGGGGACATGTTTTGATTTCGAGGATAAAAATGTGCCCGTCGTTTCAAACTTGCCTTTTAAAAATGGAACAATGCTAATTTTTGTTATCTTTAGCATTTGCAGCACAAGCCCTTTAGTTAAAGAGCAGCACTGTTCTTACCCAGACCAATTTCAGCAGGGCCGCGTTAAGGGTCAGTGGCGCCCTGGGCAAACCCAGAAGCAGCGCCCCCCCCCTTATATATACATAACTAAAATGGTTTTGACCACAGCCGTGTAGGGAGGGGAAGAGGGAAGGTGGTTGACTCATCAGTTCGCCGAAATCTACAGCAGGTGGGTTGGGGTGAGTGCAATGATCTTGACAGTTCCTATATGCGAATGCCTCTTGCCCTGCGCCAATAGCTTAATGCACTACGTAGTGATTTGAATGATTTGATTACTGTTCAGTACAGTACAGTGTGCAGTTCATTCCACATGTATTGAACGGGGTTTTCTACTAAGGGAGTATGTTTTATCTTTGGTTCTACTATATAGGCCTATGCATATATATATTTATACATTAGCGTGTTTTTTTTTACCAGTTTCGTTTCGGGAGGGAGTTTTCAATTCAGAATCAGTGGAAAAACTGGTTAGTACACTTCACTTTCTTTAAAAATACTTCTTGACTTTCTTTTCTTTGAGCCAACCGCTTGCGGTTCTCGGCTCCACTAGGTTTTTATGCATTTTTCACTGTTTATAGTCCTACTTGTATCACACTTCTATTTATTTATTACTGGTTCACTAACTGCAGTGTGAGTGTCAACACTGACTAGTGACCGTCACAGTTTAGGTTGTGTTGTGACTGATTTTATGACTGTGCAGCAGGCACAACACGAACACAACCTACTGACTACTGACTAAGCATAAGCAGTACTGTACTGACTGGCGCCGCGCGGTAAGTTGTGACTTGTGCATGGGGGTGGGTGTGGCGATGGTGGGTGGTAGGGAGAGGAGGGGCACATCAACAGCTGTAGTCTACAGGCCTACCATGGTGTAAGGAAAATACATAGGTGTGCTATTCCCGTCATTTGCTGACGTCACCCAAATTGCAAACAAAAAATCAGCTGGTGTATTGCCATATTACCCAACCCATATTACTTAATTATTGTATATATTTGTTTTGATTTGATTGTTATTATTTTTATAATTTTCCTAAATGGTAAAATAGTGTTTGCAATCTGAGTGACGTCAGCATATGACGGGAATAGTACATCTATGTATTTTCCTTCCACCATGCAGGCCTACTGCCCTGCCTCTGATAGTACTTACTAGTAAAGTGAGTGCGCCCAGTTCACACTGCTGCCTGCCTTTCCCTGACTACACGAGGTATAATGTGAAGGTCGAGTATTTTAAATTTTGTTGTATTTTTTTACTTTTTCAAAAAGGGAAAATCACTTAACTACAAGTTGAAAACACCCATTATATTTTTGAAATCCCGGCTGATCAAAACCAGTTTTTCCTAGTGGGGGCGGTAGTTGAGGGTGCCCCTCAGGCGCCCCTCAACCACCGGCGCCCCTGGGCATATGCCCAGTCTGCCCGTTTATAAAAGTGGGCCTGAATTTCAGTCATGAGCAACTATAGTATATGTTGTTTTAAGTAAGGCTACATATTTTAATAGGATACGCATATTCGTTACGGAAAACTCTGACCAGGGTAATCTTGCTGAAGGTAACATAAAGACTAAAATCGTAGTATTCATGGAAGTGCTTTTGTGATAAAAATACTGTTTTTTAGTGTTTATTTTTAAAAGTGTGTTTTCTGCAGCATTTTTATGACCATCAAAATATTCTACATAGGCCTATTTGTTTGATATGATCAAATGTTTTGTTAAATGTGTTTTAAAAATCTTTAAATAACTACCCTATTACATACTTGAACACTTATTCATTTACTAAATATAATACACATACAGCTAGAAAATGGCTGGACTGCTTCCCTTCTAAGGCTTTATTATTACTGTATTTAATTTTCGACATCGAGTCAATATATAACATGATGAATTTGTTTTATAAATTCATATATTTTGCGGGGCATTGAGCCGCACAGTACTTATTTAATACGCAAGCAAATCTTTTGTGACAATTTCTCCTCCGAAACTACTGAACCGATTGTCATGTTTTTGGTGTCATTGGAAAGAGCGTAGCGTGAAGTTGTGCAGGAAACTTTCTTTTTATGGAAATAATGAGAGAGTGAGGCCCTGGAGCCCTTTAAAGTTTCTTATTTCTCCATAAGATTAACATGGGAAACAAAAATTGTTATGAAACTCCAGCTGTTGTCAGAAATCAAAAGTGAGAAGAAGAGCATAGGTTAATGGTAAACAGTCAATAAGTTTGCTAATAAAACTGTTTGCTACAAATATTTGCTGACTTGGTTGAAGTTCGTTTTAAAATAACGCCTGTAATACTTAGCAATTGCTCGAATTCGAGCAACAGGGACACTAGTTAAAATAATAGGCTGTGTTGTTTTAAATCAATTTAACGTTTGGTTTTCTGTTCACATTGTTCATTGTGGAACAAACCATTACATTAAAGAGCATTCAATTTGAAACACACATGCCAATCGATGACTAGAGAAAGAAGGTGCTGGAGTGTGTGCCGATGTCAAAGTCAAAGACAAGAAGTAAACAATGACCGGACATTCTGCGAACGACTTGTAGTACACAACTGCACGCTTTGTTTAAAGCAAAAACCTTCTAATATATTTAGTCGTTTCTGCCAACATTATTGACTGAATCATTTTTATCATTTAGTAAAGAGCAACTGCACCAACTGATTACCTTAAATTGTTAAAAACTGTTTACAAATTATTTGTAGGCTTATAACTTTTTCAATAGTCTTATAAAAATTTCAATAAAATATATATTTAAGATGATTAAAGTTTAAACAGGCTTTGGCTACGGTACTAGAAAATGCTTTTTCAAATTAAGTCTTGACAAATAATATCTTAAGCAGCTAAATAATAAAAAAAAACTACTTTTAGAGGGGGATGAAGACTTAAGTTAAGACAATAATTTTACTACTTGAGTCAACTTAGTAATATCTTAAACTGCTATTTCGTACAATTACAACTTACTTTGCATCAGTTATTTTTCTTGCTTCAGAAAATGGCCTGATTGGCTGTTTAACAATGCTTTCCAGTATTTCAAGCTGTCTCTTCTTTTCAGTTTCGATGTCTACACTTTCAGTGTGAGCTTCATCCAGTTCATTCTCAGATTCACTCTCGTGAAACCTTGAATCTAAATTAAATCGAGAATCACTTGCAAACTTCGACTGGAGTTCCATAAGCTGTAACAAAATAAAAGAATATTCAAGATGGTCTGATTTATCAATCCTTTGTATTTTCTCTACACATCAGTTTTCAAGTGAAAACACTGTATACAAAGTTGATATTTGTATAAAATTTACCTTATGACCTTTCTTTCCTTCAAACTGAGTGTTGACTTTGAGTTTGAAATCAACCTCTTGTTCAGATGCACTGTCATCGTCTTCAAATAATTTGTTTGTTTTACCCTCTAAACTAACTTTGGGTTCTGACTCTTCAGCATCACTGAAAACGATCTTTTTGTTAACCTGTTCCTTTCCCTGAAAACAAACACAGAGGTAAGATTATAAATTTACCAAGTAGGCCTTATTAAGTAAAACTCCGATCAAGTTAGATATGAATGACGCCTTATATTTATAGTAGTTTGTAATAAATAGGGTCAAATGTAAGTGTTTAAACCAGTTTTCATAACGGTTAAGACTCTCTTGTCTGTTTCTTAAACAAAAGCATCATTGTTTTTGTTGTGCAATAAATCAACAGTTTTTGATTAACCAAAATAATTTGTCCTTAAGAGAGTTTTTAGAGCAAATCCAGCATTGTCACTGAAATTTCTTTTCCACCAGTTGTTAACATTATCTATCAGAGATTAAGTGGATTTTATAAAGAAACAACTTTAACAATTTAGGTATCTTCCTACCCAAATTAAAAAAAAAAAATATGTATTTCCCTCGAGAATTTTCTGAGAGTAAAACAAACTACATGAAAATAAGTGGACAAAAGATGATAAAGAAGACCATTTTAGAAGTATTTCCACAAAGCAGATTCCACAAAGCAAACACAAGCAATAACAGAAAAGATGTTGAAATTCAAAACAGACGCACGGCAGCAGAAAAATCATATTGGAGCTTAATAAAATTATGCAAAAGTAAACTTCTACCAAAAACCACCTAAATAAGATTCTATAAAACTATAAAACCATAGTGCAACCTGTAGTGCTATACAGGTCAGAGACTTGATCTTTCACCAAAAAGTCATAAAAAAAGACTTATTACTCTTGAAAATTAAGTACCGGTATTGAGAATGATTTTTGGACCAGTAAAATACGGAGACTTGTGGAGGATAAGAGAAAATAGGGAGTTGAGGAAATGAAATGAAATATTATTTATTGTAATGCGTGCCACATTCAACACAGAGGTGAGGAAGAGATGGTAAAGAAAGTGATAAGAGGTACTCCGGAGGGCAGGAGACCATTGGGAAGACCAAGGATGTGATGGATTGACGAGGTAACAAAGGACCTAAAGAGTATGAAATGAAATGAAATATTTATTTGTCACATAGAATTTACATAATTGTGATACATCACCAGTAAACATATGACACGTCAGTTTTTTAAACAAAATACATGATATTATTTATTTTATTTCATTGTAGTTAGTAATATATTAAAAAAACTAGTGGCCTTTTGAGGGGCCATAGCCCCTAAATTAGACTATAATAAAAACACCATATATAAAAAGACAAATATTCGAAGTATGTTTTTAAAATTGTCAATTTTATGTTACTTAAAATTAACAGTGTTTCTTGTTTTATATCTTGGTTTTCCTTCCGTTGGAGTCGTATATTAGTTGCTCCTGATGTGTCAATGAAATACAATTGTAAAATAATGATTAAATCAATAACACAGCATATTAACAAATGGAAACGTGCACACAATTTGGCCTGAGCCCGGAGAACGATGAATCAGAGCTGAAATCATACAGCCATTTATTTCACATCTTTTCTAGTTTAAAATTGAATATTTGTTTTGTAATCTTACGAATTATGTTATAGGTTCCACTTTGAGAACCAAATGTAAAGGTTAAAATTATTATTAATTATTATGAAGGCAACTCCCCATTTTGTGGTAGTAAGTCAGAAATATATCTATGAATTTGTCCCTGAATTTTAAGACAGTAAGGCCCATTTCCCGGAATCTCTTTTCGTGTAGCGGAAAGCGAAGCAAAAGCCATTGCACTGTTGTTTTGCCTTATGTTTTTTATGAAGTTCGAATCATGTAAAAACAGTTCTTTTAGTTGTGGTCATTTACTTGTGGTTGTGGCATGTTCATTGTGGCACCATGCGTTGAAATCCTCTGCGAAGTGAAATGCGCCACAATGCATGCAAGTGCTTTAAGAGGACCTAGATTGTGAGAAACAACACTCAACTCATTTTCAAGCGTTCTTCTAAAGACAGGTTGTAAAACAGCTTCTGGATTTCTTTCGCAGTTAGGCCCTACATGACGTTCTCTTTTGTATTTCTTAAGTCTTTTGAATTCCTGGACACTCTTCCACGTCTTGCAGGTCTTCCCCTACCCTGTCTAGTTACTTCACTCATAATAAAAACAGAAAAAATAAATACAATTCATTTTGAAACATTATTTACCCACACTGACTTTCGGAATAAATGTAAACATTGCAAATAAATAAGTAACAGCTGATAGAATGCAGACGTTTTTCAGTCCCCATGCATTTCTTATGGTGGATATTTTACGTTATATCTCGTTTTCTGGTAACTTTATGGGAATTCTGCTATTTTTCCCGAGTCCCTGGGGTCAAGACCTTTAATTTAAGACCCCTCCCACTTTTCTGCGACTTACCAGTCGTCCACAATTTTCTGGTAAAAAGTTGGTCTTACAGAATTATATATATGGATAAGGTCGAAAGATTAAAATATAACAAAAAGAGTTAGTTACAAAAAAAATTCATCAACTGAATAAGGACAAAGTAGTTCCAAATGTTCCCTAAGTAGTTTTTTAAAAATATCCATCTTTTCTGTCGATTTGATTTGGTTAGGGAGGTGGTTGAATAGCTTCCTACCCATATACAAAGGTGCTTTCTCATAAATAACTGTTCTATGGATAGGGAACTAAAGAGTGTTTCTATGTCGAGTGTTATATGGATGTTGGTGATTTTGTGATGAGAAAGAGGTCAAGTGTTTTTTAACAAATATACATAGTTGATATATATACACAGCATGAATTGTTAATAGTTTCAAATGTACAAACAGAGGACGACAAGAAGTACGAGGTGCAGTGTCAGTTAAAACTCTCATGGCCTTTTTTTGAAGAATAAAAAACCCATCTATGATCGGAGAGCTGCCCCAAGAAATAATGCCATAGCAAGCCCTGGACATAGACAATAGACAATTTTCTTTATTTGTGATTTCTTTAAGAAATACAATGGCGTCAGAAAAATTCAGAATGTTTAACATTTAGATTGTTTTAACAGTTTACATAAAGTAGGAATGGTAAACAGTCAAAGCAGCATTTAGTCCTGTTGTTTTGAAGATGACCCTTAATCCAAACAAAGCTTTGGCTAACGATTTAGTCACCTGAAATTGATGTTCTTCCCATTTTAAATGTTCATTCATATACAAACCCAGAAATTTTATGTTTTCTGAAGCCTTGAATTGTTCCCCAGAATCCAAGCTGATGGTTTCCTTTTCTGTATTTAACTGTGGATTGTGAAAATGAAGTAAGTGTGTTTTTGAACAGTTGAGATGAAGACCATTATGTTTTAACCAAAGTTCTATTTTGTTCAAATTTTCCGATGCTTTGATAGACGCTAGGGTAACAGATGGGGCTTTGACCAACACAGTAGTGTCATCGGCAAATTGTACGATTCTGGAATCCAATGTGGCAGCTAGATCATTTATGTAGAGAATAAAAAGAAGAGGTCCAACTTTAGACCCTTGAGGAACGCCATGAAGAACCGGACACCAGTTTGAGAAATTTTTAATGTTAGATTTATCTTTGATGACAACTCGTTGATAACGTCCCTGAAGATAGCATTTGAACCAGGCCAAGGAAGAACCAACAATTCCATATAGTTTAAGTTTTTCCAGAAGAATGTCATGCCTCACACAGTCGAAGGCCTTGGAAAGATCACAGAAAACACCAATTGCCCTCTGGGATCTATCCAGGGCTTCCACAGTATCAGAAATAAGCTCAACTACTGCATCTGAGGTACTCCTATTTTGTCTAAAACCAAACTGATCTTTGTTGAGTAATTCGTTTGTTTCAAGGAATGGAACTAGCTGTGATAGAGCAGCCTCTTCAAACAATTTTGAGATGACTGGCAAAAGAGCGATTGGTCGATAGTTAGATATTTCATGGGAGTCACCTTTTTTGAATACTGGTTTGATTTGTGCGTATTTTAATTTGTCTGGAAAAGAGCCTGTTAACAGTGATATATTGATACAATGAGTTAAAGGTTTTAAGATGCAAGGAGCTAAAGATTTTATAAGATGTGCTGGAATTTCGTCCCATCCTGTGGATGGTTTGTTTTTGAGTTTTTTTATACATGAAAAGACAAAAGATTCTGATACCGGTTGAAACTTGAAAGAATTAGGAACTTTTAAAGATGCCTTTTTTGCGCTCTTTACAGATTCTGCAATAGAAACATGAGAATGAATATCTTTTGCTACGCTTGTAAACAAATTGTTCATACTGTTAGCTACTGATATTGGTTTTGCTACCACCTCCCCATTAATTCTAATCTCTGGACACGACTGATCTTCTACACATTGCCCTAACTCTTTTTTTAACAATATTCCAAGTTGTTCTAGTTAGGGGAGAAGGGGGTAGATTTGAACACGGGGTAGATTTGAACAGATTCAAATTTCCCTCCAAAACAGCCAGCAGATTTCTTCTTCTTTCTGTTTTGTGTTCAAGTTGATGATGTCATTCAGCAGGGTTGGTTTCCCTCCATTTCTGCCACTCTTAGTGTCAGAGGCAAAATGTGATATTTCTAACCTCCAAATTTTATAATTTTGTTCCAAAGTTTTAAGAGTTTTTGAAGAAAGAAAATACCTTCTGAATTAATCTATTGCAATCATTGGTAAGTACACTTCTTAACCTACATTTCTATATAATAATTATGTTTAATTCTCTTACTGCAGTATTAAAAATAATTAAAAACCAAAAACTTGCACTTGGGGGCACATTTGAACATAGAGCGGGGGGTACATTTGAACATGTAAATATACCATTATAGCAATGTTCTGAATATAAAATGTTGTTGTTTTGTTAATTTGTTATGCTTTTAGTGATGTAGCTATGTAGACTTTTACCTTATCAATGATCTTAGATCAGATAGATTAACTTAGTATAACCTAGTTTTGAATAGCCTAGGCATATACCAATCCAACTAACCTGGCCTATTTAATGTAGTTAGCCAAATCGATTTGACGACATGCAAGATTTGTTTTGTGATCAGTATCACAACACCAAATTAACAATATTCTAAATTGAAAACATATATTTTATTAGTCATGCTTTTTTATTAGGCAGGTTAGTCCTGCTGCATCTTAGGTCAGATAACCTAATTTTGATCAGCCAATACTAATTTAATTGTAGTCCTAGCATAGTTAACCTTGTTAGCCAGGCTCAATTTTAAACCTTAAAGGTTTTGTTGTGTGGTCTGCATAAGCCTTTAGGCTAATTAAGATAGGCTACATTTTAATGTTAAGTGGGTTTTGTTCCAGGATTAGACGATGGTTCGAAATTATAAGAAGAAAAATACCCACCTAGAAATCAATGAGGAAGATGTACAAAGAGGAATCAAATTGGTGTTACAAGATAATATGTCTTGCCGCCAAGCTGCAGAGATCTGCGGGATAAAGCACACAACACTGTTTTATCGTTTAAAAAAAGTGAAGAAAGGAGATAAGGCTGCTGAAGACGACAACCAGCCGGATGATCCATTACCTCAAGAATTGTTGGATTCTGCAAGCAAGTTTGGTTCTAAATACACAGTGAACCAAGTGTTTACCAAAGAACAGGAAATTCTCCTTGAAAACTATATACTTACATGTGCCTCAATGAAATATGGGTTGACTTACAAAATGATCCGAACATTATCTTACCGGTACGCCAGTTACTTGAATCGATGTCCTCAAAAGTGGGAGGAAAATCAGTTAGCCGGGATTGATTGGTTAAAAGGGTATATGAAAAGACACCCAAATCTTACTCTGCGCAAACCTGAGAACACTAGCTTGGCTAGAACTCTAGCATTTAACAGAAATAATGTTGAAGAATTTCAGAACAACTTGTCTGAAGTGTATGCTAAACACAAGTTCAAGCCTGAGAATATATTGAACCTGGACGAAACAGGTATTATGACTGTCGTCCAAGCGCCTAATATAGTGGCCAAAAAAGGAACTAAACAGGTTGGACAAGTGGTTTCAGGTGAAAGAGGTTCACTTGTAACCATGGTTGCTACAATCACTGCTGCGGGAAATACAATCCCCCCTGTTTTTATTTTTCCCCGGAGTAGAATGCATGATAGCCTAATGCATGATGCTGTTCCAGGTAGCCTGGGTTTAGCAAATTCCCCTACTAGTGGGTGGATAACCTGTGACCTATTTTTGAAAGTACTTCAGCATGTGGCTGAACACACACGATGCACTAAAGATTTGCCCATCCTGCTCATCATGGATAACCATGAAGCTCATTGCAGCCTAGATGTGATTTTGTTCGCAAGAGAGAAAGGTATTGTAATTGTTACAATTCCACCCCATTGTAGCCATCGTTTACAGCCCCTTGACGTATGTGTGTTAGGCCCTTTTAAGAGACATCTCTCTACTGTACAAAATGACTGGCTTGTAAATAACCCAGGGAAAAAAATTAGCATTCATGACCTTGCTGGGTTAGCATCTAAAGCATTTGACATTGCTTTTACAAGACAAAATATAACTAAAAGTTTCAAAGAGTGTGGAATTTGGCCTTATTCGAGAAGCGTTTTTTCAGATGCAGACTTTGTAATAACAGAGGAACCAAACCAAGAACAAAACCAGTCTGGTGCAAGTAGACCTGTTGGTCAAACAGAGCCAGTGCCAAGCTGTTCCAATGTTGAGGTAGACCTACCAACCCAATCTTCAGGTTCAACTGAAAGGCCCAACTCCTCTACAAAATCTCCGGGTCCAGAGATGGTGAGACCATTCCCAAACCCAGAAACTGCACTAAAAAATCCTAAAAGAAAAACAAAAGAAAAGGGCAAATCCAGGATTTGGACAGACACTCCTGAAAAAAGACGCCTCGAAGAACTGAAAGCAGCTAAGGAAGCCAAGCTAAAAAAGAAACAAGCTTTAAAATCCAAAAGAAAATTAATACTAGATGAAAAGAACTTGAATGCTTCTCAAAACAACTGTGGTAAAAAACAGAGGCCTAAAAAACAAAAACTTTCAAGGAAGAAAGAGAGTGACGATTCCGAGCTTTCAGAAGAGGAAGTTGTTTATGCTGAAAGTGACGATTCTCCTTACTGTGAGTCATTTGGAAGCGAAGAAGAAGATGGCGACCTTCCACAAAACAGCTCAGGAAAAATCAATCCATTGCTGGAGTGCTACTATGCAGTCTTCTATGACTTAAACTGGTACTTGGGAAGAATAATTGATTTTCCTGATGAAGGCCTCACTAAAGTAAAATTTCTAAGACAAGGACTTGGTGATAACTATGAATGGCCAATCCATGAAGATACAGACATTGTCCAAAATCATTTTATTTTTTATGGGCCTATCAGGTTAATTGGTAATGGGCCATTCACCATTGCCGATTCCTGCAAAAGAAGAATTGTTCTTAAGTATAAAGCTCTTAAGACACAACGCACAACATAGATTTGCTTTTGAGTAAACATGTATAATTTGTCAAATATTTCTTTGTAGCCTCATTATAATATGTTTTTGAAAGTCAATAAATTTGTTATAAACTTTATTTCTGACAGTTGTTGTTAAAATACCCAGTTGTTCAAATCTACCCCATGCTTGTTCAAATCTGCCCCATGCTTGTTCAAATCTGCCCCGGTGTGGGGCACATTTGAACGCAATGAACACGTTTAGAAAAAAAATATTAAAATTATTAAAAAATTAAAAATTTTGAATTTTGTTAGTCGTTTAAGTTAGATAAAGATCTATATGATATTTAAAAAAATATATCATTAACATAAAAACAAACAGAAAAAATACAAAAATAAAAGTTGAAAATTTGTTCAAATCTACCCCCCTCTCCCCTACATTGTCACTTTCTTTTATCAAATTAACATTATACAACTTTTTTGCTGCAAAAACTACTTTTCTAAACACCCGTTTATAATTCTTAAAGTACTCCATAAAAACAGGATTCGATGGAGCTATGGGAGCATACCTGTAGCTGGCACAAGACAGAGGATTCTGAGACACATGGTTAGCGAGGCTGAAGGTTTACAATGGCCACAGGAGTAAGAAAGAGTAAGTAGCCTAGGCCTAAGTAAGAATGTATAAAATCATGATTAAGTTTACATTATTTTCATTAATAAAGATTTATTTTATTACATATCATAGAGTTTTAAAAGCACATTAATTAGCACTTAGTTATAGCCTTAATCTTTTCTTATGTTAGTTTGCTGGAAAAAAAACTTACCAGTGTAGACAAAGCTTTTTTTATAATGTTTTTCTGATCTGCATGTAATTGGCTTTGCTCTTGGACAGCTTTTTTCCTTTTCATTTCTGCTATTTTTGAGTCATATTTCTCAGACTTAGTATGATTTTCTACAACTGCAACTTCTTCTTTAGCTGCAATTTTATTTGTTTCAACCTTATTTTTTAAATTGTGGAAATTATTATGACCATCTTCATCCCTCATGTGTGCATTTTGTTTAGCTTCAGAACGATCAGACCACTTAGATGTTTTGAAACCTTCAAAATTTTTCATTTTCTTTTCATATTTATTTTCCCTATTCAAATTTTTGTCCACATTTTTACCTGATGGAACAATTTCAAAATCACTTTTAGGATTTTCAACATCTGGACAATCATTCCAAACATCACTGAATTCTTCAAGTTTGGTCATTACATTTAAGGGATCATCAATTTTAGCTTTCTTCATTTGTGATTCAGTAGATGGGTCAATTCCTGCTTTTGGCCTTTTCTTTAAAGTTGGTAAATCAGTATTTTGACCATCTCCTAAATGAAATTTTGTTCCTTTGAATGGTTTCATAGGAAATCCATTTATATTTTGTACAATGGATTTATCCTTATAATGTTTTTTTGATTGGAGTGTCATCTTTTATTGTAGTAGTTGATTCAACGAGTATTGTCTTCTTTGTTCAGCTTCACCTGGAAAAGTTATGTCTTTATTTAGTCAACATTGAGATGCATGCTCGGTTGAAGAAAAGTGTAGGACATTGTCAAAAAGATTCTAATAATGTTGTGAGAAAATCAGAGTTCATGACACACTAGATTTGTCTTAAACCAGGCTGTTGTTCTACAAGTCTTTTATATTAGTAAATTAACGGGCTAGCCAAAGTTGATATCCACATCACATCTTACTAAAACAAACAAATACCCCTAACTGAATAACGTAAACAAAACTTCATTAGGCCTATATTGAATCTTAGCCTCCTGATCGCATTTAAATACTATAAATTGGTGTAAATACCTGTGCATTTTTACAAAGAGGATCACATATATGCAGGTATTTACACCAATTTATAGAAAACAAAACGTTCTCTGTCTGCTAGACTCCGTTCAGCTTCGTTAGTAACCGCTCGAATATCTTGGCCGGCAAATGCAAAGTAAAGGTCTGGGAACAATGAAACAGGTAATAAACTCAGAACATTGCTAGCCAAAGTAAAACCAAGGGGAAAAAATGTTAGTAAACTTAGAAAAAGAGTACAAGAGTTGAATTTTTCAGTCATTAAACTTAGGACCTACTAACGATATTTGCGAATCAATTATTATTTTATTCATAAGGTGCCGTTTAATGTATTTTAGTGGATAATAGAGAAGAGCTGATTTCTCACTTTTTGCGAAAATACCCCGGAGCAAAATGTTGAACGTCAAAATCCTGTAATCTACGGGAAAATCTGGTGATATGGCAACCCTAGAAACTGACAACTGGCGTTTCTGAGTAGACGTCTTGCAAGAAACAAAAGAAAACCCCAAAGGGTCAATTTATTGGACAGAGACGCGACTGTCTAAAAATAGATGCAGTAAAGTACGGAGTAGTGTGGCTAGCTGATAAAGTTGCAATCATTTCTTGGAGTCTAGACGAGAGGATAGATTAGGCCTATTCATACTTGGCTTAAAATACCTACATTTGTATGGTTGTGATGGTCAGGCAATTATTGACCGTATTTTTTAGTTTATGGGAATCAGCCCAAAGCCCAGTTTTGGCTATTGCCGTTAATATTGGCAATCGGTCAGTTTGGCAATCGGTCGCAACTCCGCTAGCCAGCATTATCTTGCAATTTATTTGGGGTTTTGATACTTGATACTTACTTGATACTTGTAGTCTATGTCGTTGACCAATGAAATCGGCATGACTGCGTCAGATTACTAAATACTAAAATACTATTTACACAATACTATTTACACTGTGGCAATGGCTAAAAAGTGGCTCGTTGCCTAATTCTTCGAGGCTGTAAAGAGGCCTATTAACCAGCCTGTCACGCAGGGCCGTCTTATAATCATCAAGGTCCAGATTGCGCACATGAACCGGCAAGGAATTAAACAGCCTTATCGCCGACCGAGGATAACTCTTCAGAGAGCGGGCTAGGCGGCATCTCGGCAGATCAATGTCACAAGCTTGGCGGGTATGGTGGCTATGTACATTGTCTCTGACTACAAAATGATGAATGTTTATCTTCAGCAGGGTCAAGATGTTAAGGACATACTGGCTGTAGACAGTCAAGTACTTTGTTGAGTGTCACAAAGTATTGAGTACCGGTTGCTACATTGCTAGATTGCTACATCACGTTCGGTTGTTTGGATCGTGGCATGGAATGTATGGCCTGATTGTTCTGATGACATGAGGTGTCATCATTCTGTGTGATGTGTAGGACCACCGAACCTGGGTGTAGTCAGTCAGAGTCGGGTTTGAAGAGTCCGTGAGCTGCGGTTACGGGGTATCTTTCCTTCCCCCGCGGGTGTTTGTGGGGTTGGGCATGTTCGCTTCTAAATCACTTTTACATAGGCTATTTCCAATTGATAGTAATTTGTTACGAATCATTTTGTTTATTTTTAAATTGTTTCTTCTAACTTTAATGGTTTATATCATCAGTTGATGATAGCAGTAAACTCATTACAAACAGGTTTTCTGTTCTTTTGACATAATAAATACAGTGTGAAATTGTTAACTCTGCTTTCGATCATTGAGTTTCTGCCCTTCCCGTGCGTGATTGTTACATTGGTCCGTGGGGGTGGGCATGTTCGCTTCTAAATCACTTTTACACAGGATATATTTTCAATTGATAGTAACTTGTTACGAATCATTTTGTTCATTTGTAAAAAGAGTTTTGTAAATGGCCTATAACTTATCATCAATTGATAGTGTTGACTATACGTAAGCATAAACTATATAACTACCTATATAACTTGATAGTAGTAAACAATATGGTCAATAACTGCCTGACCGTCATATGGTCGCCATTTCATAAGAAAGTAGGCTATTAAAGTAAGTTATGAGTACCGGTACCTATAACTTACATAGGCCCTATGGTTTTCTTTTCTCCTTCTCATCAAAAAGACAAATGAACCATACTAGGATAAAAAAGTAGGTCTATATATACAATTTAAAGTTAGGCTAGAACATAGAAAAAATTACTCTTCAAAATATTCTGACGGCATAAGTTACAAGAGACTGGTTTATCGAGACTGTTCTGTTCTAAACAGAGAAGACCTACACTTAATAGATATTTAAGTTTATTTTCTAAGGTTTAAGTTGTCCCAGAACTTTGAAATATTATTAACACTGTATAAAGACAAAAACCAACTTAAGTTCAAATGACGTGATATTGTTAAGCAAATTACATCTAGATTAGCCTATACTACCTAAGGTTCCTTTCTTGCTAAGTAAAGTCTGATTATTGTTTAATCTATGAATGAGCAATATTTTTAGAGAAAACGTGGAATATAATTTAAATCCAATAGTATAGTAATTAATAATTATAAATTCTAACCTATATTCAAAACAAACATTTGGAGACAGACAGCACATTGGAGAGAGACAAAAAATCAAGCATGCTGCCAGTGTGCCAGTGCTGCCAGTTCACCAGTGTGCCACTAAAAAAAATAAAAAAACTGCTAGGTCTGTTTCGACTGCAGCCCTAGGAGGATTAATCCTCCTAGCTGCAGCCTGATGGCTTTAGTGGTTAAGAGATGACCCACGGCCGCCTTTAACTTCTGACTACAGTAAGTATTATCGTATTATGCTACCATGGATTAAATATACACTATCTCGAGTATGGAGGAAGTGGAACTTGTCACCTTTCTGTGATCAAACTCCCTTCTTCAGTGGTGGGAAGAAAATTGCATCATCTTGAACGCTTAAGTTTTCCATTTCTAACCGGTAAAACAGTCCACTATGACTTTATTATTCTGCTTGACGAATGACATTACCACTATCTTTTCTTCTTCAGAAATGAAATTCTTTGGTCTATTCCTTGACGAAAGCCCTAAATTCCACAGCTACATCGAGCATTTCAGCAAGAAAGTATCAGTGGGTATATTCATGTTGAGAGTTCTTAGCCAATCAGCCACCACTGATGATGTCCTAAGAACAGCTGTTATCAGCCTATTATGGACTTGTTTGTTTACCCATATCTGACTTATGCTGTTCCTGCTTGGGGATGCAAAAGCGAAAGGACTCGGTTCTTGTTTATGCTTCAGAGAAGGGCATTCCGAATTATATTTTTTATATTCCCAAACAACAATAATACAGAGATAATTTCAGAGCATTTAAAATACCTTGCCATCAATTTACATCTTTGAAACTCTATCTTTCCACAACAAAAATACTTCCTTTTTCTCATCAGCAATAAAGCTCGGGTATCTATTTCGCAATACGGTACTTCAAATCTACCAATTCCTCAAAATTCCACTTCTTTCTTTCAAAGACACTTTCATTATAATTCCATAAAAAAATTCAATAGTCTTCCACCTCGAGTGAAGGCCGAACAAGATCTAAAAAAACAGGTCTCTTAAGTCCATGATGTTGTTAGAAAAATCATCCTACAGCATCCGTAATACTTTATTTAGTCATCATTCACAATGTCACGTGAGCATCTTTAGTTTATTTAATTATATAGCTATTTATAGTAAGACATTTGGTTGCATTAAGGTGAACTAAGTTGATCTTGTCTTGTATTAACTTGGCTAATGCAAATCATTGTCAGTCTGGTCCAATATTGACTTGTTATTGACTCTTGATGATTTGTCATCCTTTTCCTTGGATCAGCTTAAGACAATTCAAGTTGATTCCATCTTGTTAATGTAAGGGTGTGATTAGTTTACGCTGTACTAGGGCAATAGGGGGACCTGTGTGATTTCGCACGAAAAAAAGGTTTTCTTTTATGAATGAATCCATTCACAAAAGGCATGGGTCATGTCGTTTGTTGGACAGTATAAGCTTAGACTAACCAACATAAGCATATTTAAAACATACTCCTCCTTGAGGAGTATGCTTTATCTATGGCATAGACTAACCAACACAAGTAGACTTCTCATCCCATTGTAAATTTTGAAGCACGTTTTTCGTGTCTAGTTCATGTACTTGACACAAAGGCGCTAGTGTCGATGAAACTTTGTTTCAACTATTTTAGGGTTAATTTCTTGATTTCTGCTTTACTGTTTGGTTATATAACTAGGGGACAAGTTATTGTTTATGATTAGATCGTATTATTTGGTTAAACGAGGTTTTAAATGGCTGTAATACCGGGAAACAAATTGTAAACAAAACACGACCTCTACATAAACCGTACATGAACCAACAATAAAATTGTCTTCAGCTGTTCCATAAGGATGAGAAATCTACTAAGGGAGTATGTTTTATCTATGTCTATGGTTAGACTATGCCTGTACTTAGAAATTCTAAAATGTTTTATAATCAATGGCCAAGCAGAACCACTTTGGTTTTGAACTCTTGTCAAAAATGTCCATTCTCTTTGCATTCAATTGGTATTCTGCAAAGCAAAGCTAAGCAAATCAATTTTTGTTCTTCTTTCCGGATAAAGTAAGCCGAAGGTACGTTGTTCATTACCAATTTATTAAGTTTATTTATCTGTATCTATCGCATTAAAGAAATTTGTTTCCCACTTTGTTTTAACTTCATTTAAACGGTAAAAGCTTTACTTACAAATTTACCATAGATCACTTTCAATGTCTAAATATATTCAGAGTATCTTGGGCTCTAATTGCTGCTTAGGTTAGGATTCTTCAAGTACGGTAGCCTATTTACTTTGATCGGATGTTTAGGATAGTTTTAAATAATTATAGAATGTTTTCAACCACATTGATACAGATAATTCTGCGGGATTGAAGTTGTAGGCCTTAGGTTATGTCTATAAATTTCTCTAAACAAAGTCATCACTTAAGTTAGGCCTACTCTGTTTATGGGCCTTGGCCTATCCTAGTTAATCAATAGTAAATTAAGCTAACTAGAAGTAACTATAGGCCTACATTCCATTTGTCAATATAAATAATTAAAATATCAATAGCCTAGGTTTGCTGTTATTAGAAGTATGGCACACTTTTTGTCAGTGAGGCTTGAAGGGTCGGAACCGAAATTCCACTCATTTGCAATGGACTGAGCACTGCACAGTCTCTGTCTAGCATATGTGCTGATTGTGTTGGTATCGAATCAACCTGACCATAACCCACCTGCAAACTGCACCTCGATCACAATGGCAACAGAAACCAAATTCCTCGTTATCACCCTGGACAAAAACTTGTCCTGGCACCTACACATAGAAAACCTGGAAAAGAAATTGTCAACAACACACTTTGCAACAAGAAGGATTTGGTCAGTGACTGATAAGAGTACGTCCAAAATAGCATATTTTGCCCTAACTTATTCGAAAGTCACTTGAGGTATGGCATCATAGCCTGGGGCTCAGCAGCAGACTACCATCTACAAAAGCTACTAATACTTCAAAAAAGAGCTGTGAGATCAATTGAACAAACTGCAATATAGGGAACACTGCAAACCTTTCTTCACAACTAACCAAATCCTAACTTTATTCTCCTTGTACATCCTAGAAATTATGAAATTCCTAAAAAATTACCCCCCCCCCCCCCAAACCAGAAACAATTGCCATAACTACAACCTCAGAAATTTACAGACAAACTACAATCTACAACCACACAGACTCACTAAAACTAGCAGAAATCCAAAAATAATAGGAACTAAAATATTTAACACATCGCCAAACAACCTAAAATCAATAGATTCAAACACTCTTTTCATAAAAAAACTGAAACAATACTTAATCAACAAACCTTACTATAGTCTAAATGAATATTTCGAAGACCACACACCCTACAACAATACATAACAGTACACAAAGAAGAAAGAAAAAGAAAAAACAAGAATTTTGACGATTCCCTGGTCTCAACGACTATGGAGAAGTGGACCTAGGTAATAGGTAAGGCAGGGATGGAAGGAACAGAAATTCCACACACTTTTTCAATAACGTCTGTGTGCACTCAACAGTCTTTCTAGCATTTTTGCTGAAAACTACGTTGTGAATAGGTTAACCCTCCGAGTGTCCCTTGTTTTGGCCTTAATGTCTGCCTATTTTTTGCTCATTTGCAAGGTTTTATTAAAACGGATCTGAGAAGCTTGAAAACAATGTTAATTATACTGTTCTATATACCATTTTGTTTGGAAAATCATGGACTTCAATATTATACATAGAACATTTCAAAACAAATTTTTAGGAAAAAAAAAATATTTTGGAAAATTTTCAAAAAAAAAAAACAAGTTCGCGCTCAATGAAATTGTATAAATTATAGGCCTATAAATATTTGAAAATAGCCACTTTGTTCTAAATTTTATGAGGATTACAAATATATAATAATATAAGGAAGTAGATTTGCAAATAAATAAGTTATGGGCAAAAAACAGATTTCAGTACATAGCGTTTAGCTAAGAATGCATAGCCTAACCATAGCTAGGAATCTGGCTGATAATTTACATCAATATCACTACATACTTCTTCAGGATCATCACAACCAGCCCTTCAAAACCACTTAAATCTTCTTATAATGCACCAAGTACTTATATCACTACTTTTGATTTTTAAAACTAAAACAATGATAAACGTAATAAAACACATCAGTCATCGGTCCGAGGATAACCAAGCTGTTTACAAATACGCACGTCAGCTGTCTGCTACAATATTTTTGGAACTAAAATGAATAGCGCTTAGAGACAGACCTCCAGAGAAAGCTCTGAATCTGTAAAATAAAACGATACCTAACTCGATCCAGTTCAATCCGATTTTGTCAGTCATAGAGCCTTCGCCGTAAACAGTGTTTGTGAGTCGCTGCAGCGACAAATAACACTCGGAGGGTAATGAGTTTAAGTTATAGGTGACACGTCTGAATGTCTCTCTAAATTTTTTTCCAAACATTCTTTTGGACAGTGGAAGGTGTAACTTACATGGGCCTAGATGTTCTGTCCCGACTGTGACGGCTTAGAACGTGCACTCAAAATCAAATCAATGCTAAACATTTTTGAAAAATTCCATTCATCCATCCATTTGTGCCGCCTCAGTGCGCTCTTAGTTTAACTTATTCTACTTTACTTAGCCAAGGCCCACCATACTTATTTTTTAAATTTGTAAGTTTATTAAGTTAGCCTATAAAATGGGCTCCCAGAATAAGACTTAATTCTATTCTATTCTCTAATAAGACTATTATTCTTGTCGATAAAGTGCTCTTTAGCTATATTGTCCTTTGCGTTGATTGTTCAAAGAGATCTAGATTAATTAATTAATTCCCCGATATTAGGCTAGTTTAGTGATGTGCGATACGGGTCAATGTATCGATAGGCCTACTACGTATCAATACATATCGGAACGTGGTGTATTGATACGTGTATCGTATCCTCATGTATCGATTTTTACAAATATCGGATAAAATATCGTATCGTATTGTTTATTTACAATAAAAAAAAAATGTAAATATCTCAAATATACAAGCTGCATAGACAAATACTATGTTACTTACAGGCTTGTAAAGAGGGTTAGTGCTTGTAACCTTACCTCAGAAAAGCCGTTTCCTTCCTGTGTCTTTTTATTTGTATCAAACTCACATACATAACCTCTAAATTCCAGTAAACCCTCAAAATTGGAAAACATTTTGTTATTGTTTTCCTAGTTTTTACACGGGGATAATAAATTGAACTAAAAAGTACTTGATGGTGGGTATGCCACTTACACATTAAATAGGCTAGTATAGGCTAATATGGATGATGAGGGTCCCCGTCCATTAATGGTGGCCCTAGTTTTGAGGTTATTTGCAAAACATAGCTGAAAATACATTTGATCAGTGTTTTTGAAGATGGTAGGGTAAAATATCAAATTTCCACTACTACTTTTGAGGGGAGGAAGATGGGAAGACAAATTTCTTACCTTAAAAATAAGATTTAACTTCAATTAAAATAAACAATATGATATTTGATAGGTACGATATTGGCTATAGGTGTATCGATACACTCCCACGTATTGATACAAAATATTGATATTTTGCGGTCCTTGTATCGATACGCACATCACTAGGCTAGTTCGACCTGTGCCCAATTTAGTTAAGTCAGGTTAGGCTTGCATGCACATTGTGTAACTTTAAAGAGACTTAAATTTTAACCTAACAATATTTCCAGTTTAAAATGGCTCCCAAAAGGAATAATATGATTCCTAATGGCCATTTCCATAAGGATTGGCAAAGGTATGTCAAGACCTGGTTCAACCAGCCTGCCAGGAAATTCAGGAGGCGTCAGAACAGAATCAAGAAAGCTAAAGCTGTCGCTCCTCGCCCGGCCAGAGGACCTCTGAGGCCCATTGTGCGTTGTCCCACCATCCGTTACCACACCAAGGTCCGCGCTGGCCGCGGTTTTACTCTGGATGAACTGAAGGTAGAATAAAACAATTTCACCTAGACCTAGTTTAAAAGTAATAAGTTAACAGTCTTACAGTGTAAGACGCTAGGCTATGTTTGTCCTTAATGAGATATAAGTTGTACGGTATGATACGATTTTTTTTTAGCTCATATAAATTATCGTTTAGGGTTTAAAACCCTATTCACACGAGTTTACAAGCTACACACCAGTTTGTAAGAAACCGGTGAGTGTCCTTGTTAACACGATGCTTTTTCCACTCACTCAGTAGCTGATTTCCAGACCACTTGGAGTTTTTTAGAATTGTAAAATCAACAAAGAACAAAAATAATAGGTCAAGATAGACATGTACCTATGACTAACAAAAGAGTAAAACCCCTTTTAACCAGTTTTATTTTAGTTAATCAAGGTCTAACGTTTTACTATTAATAGAACTAGACATTACATCCCCATGTTATAAAAAAAATTATCGCTTTTAGCGAATTTCTTTCCCTCTGATAGGGAAGTAGCTATGACCGTAGGTGGCACAATCGGTTTTCAATTAAATCTATTTAAATAACATTAAGTTTAACGAGTACCTAGGTTTGCTGGTTACAAAGAAACTAAGTAAGTGTTTTTGTAAAATATTAATAGCTTAGTAAAATACCCCCGCCGCAGCAAACCTGCAGACTAAGCGAATTTCCATTAACCTGATTGGATTTATACTAAAATGCCTCCATAAAAATAGCACATTTATTTCCTATTTGAATAGAATTAGTTTAACGAGTACTTAGGTTTGCTGCAACAGGGAGGGTAAAAAAGATTTTTTTTATAAAATGATAATAGTTTAGTAAGAAATAAAAGTATTTTCCAAATCAATCAAAATATGTTCATAAACAAGCAAACTACAACAGTTGACTTATTCTCCATAAGAATAACATGGGAATTTTAAAATTACAATTTTTTGGAATTTTCTCCGTAACCATTAGGCGCATAACAACGCTTCAATATACTAAATTATGTGTTTTTTTAAGCTCTACAAAATGGTTTGGAAAGAAATTGTGAAATTTTGTGTTTTTAGGGTCAAAAATGGAAAAACCTATTTTTACACCATAAAACCCCCCATAAACCCCCGTTCCCATAGTCCGATCATGCTGGTTCGCGAACTCATTCAAGTTTATCCCGCCTTACACCTTCAAACCAAATTTTATCAAAATCGGACAAAAATTACTCAAGTTATCGTGCGGATGGACACATATATATATATATACTAGCTGTACCCGCAGGCTTCGCCCCGTTTAACTTCATAAGTATTCGCATGGCTCATTCACGTCCTGGTTGAAGTTCGTTCGCTACGCTCACTCACCTTTAGGTTGGAGCTCGTTCGCTTCGCTCACTTGCCTTCAGGTTAGCTCGTTCGCTACGCTAACTCGCCTCCAGGTTGAAGTTCGTTCGCTACGCTCACTCACCTTTTGGTTGGAAATTAGCTGTTGTCATAAATAAAAAAAATTAATAGTGCTGCACCCTGTTGGTAATCCTTGTAACTTTTATGCTATTGAACATCATAGAACAGAACCAACTTGTTTAATTGAAACAGCTGTTTAGATTCATTCATTCATTTTAAATATGAAAAATCATAAGATTAACATGGGGAACTACAGAGCCACTGGGGTGGAGCCCGAAAGGGGTTTTGAGATAAGAATATGCTTTAATGTTAATCGGGAATGTGAGCTATCATCATGCCAAATTTCAGCCCAATCCGTCCAGTAGTTTATGCGTGATTGAGCAACAAACACGCACACAAACATACACACAAACTTACAAACTTTCAGATTTATAATATTAGTAAGATATATATATATCTCTATATATAGATATATAAAAATTTGAACGAATGGTGTTTTTGGCCTCTGGGGACATCAAAATGAAAAAGCAAATCGGTCCCGGGCTTAGGTCTTACCATGAGACCTACGGTAATAGCTACTTCCCTATAGGGAAATTCGCTAAAATGAATAAATTTACCAAGTAGTGTGATCAAAATATTTCCATAAACAAGTAGGCCTAAACTGAAACAGTTTACAATATTCTCACCAATAACTGTACAAAAACACTTTGATATAGCCTACTAAACTATTTGTTTTCTAAGCGATTTAAAATGGTCTTTATAGAAATTGGGAAATTTTGTGTCTTGATGGTCAAAATGAGAAAAACCAATTTTTACCCCATAAAACCTCCTGTAAAACCCTGTTCCCATAACTTAGTCTGATTAAGCTCGTTCGCAAACTCATTCAAGTTTATCCTGCCTTAAATCTTCAAATTTCATCAAAATCGGACAAAAATTACTCAAGCTATGGCGTTTACGGACACATAGGCCTATAGGCTATATAATTTATATATAAATAAATCTAGCCTATATATAAATTTGAACGAATAGTTGGCTTCTGGAGACATCCAAAACGAAAAAGTACATTGGTCCCAGGCATAGGTTCTACCGTGCCACTTACAGTAATAAATACTTCCCTATATAGGGAAATTAGCTAAAAGCGATAATTTTTTATAACGTGGGAATGGAATAGTTCTATCAATAGTAAAACGGTAATAGTACCTTGATTAACCGAATATAAAACTGAACTGTTGAAATAAAACTGGTTAAAAGGGGTTTTAATCTTTGGTTAGTCATACATGTCTATAAAAAAACACTGAATAACAATAATTACGTGACACGGTCTCGGGTAGCAGTGTGTAGTCTGCACGCACATTATTGTCAAATCATGCACGTCCTCTGGACCTATATTTTTGTTCTTTGTTATTGTTTTGATTCCTAACAAAATACAACGTTTGTAAAATGCTCTTGAATTTTAATATTTTAATTAGTGATTTCACAATTAGGCCTATAAAGTTATACAATAATAAATGTATATTCATTGTAGCCTGTTACTAGTGCTTGATTTTTTTTAATAGGCTTACTGATTAATTATTTTTTGTAGGCCTTATTTCATTGTAGAAAAAAGATCAAATGTAATTTTTATTATCTTTGGCAAAATTCAAGAAATAGCGGGAAATGAGAAAATAGGGCGAAACGCACCTGATTGTGTCGTCTGTAGGCTATCTTACCGGGCGGCAAGAGGATGACTCCTAAGTGCGTCATCTGCAGTGAACATGTTAAATTGCTTCCTTCTCGATTTTTAAAATTATTTTGGCTTATCTAAACAGTATTTGGTCCCAATTGATTTAGGTTAGCCATACTCAAGTGTTCATGGTATTCAACCCAGGAAAAACTGGAATTTGCGTGTTAATATTAATGACTGCAAAGAATTCTTTAAACTGTACATGGATTTTTTATAGAATCAGGACATTTGGAGTAATTGCCAATAGCCTAGCTAAGCATCAATTTACTACCAATGTTTTTTTGTTTTCTTTTAACGTTTTCTGTAGTAATTTTAATCTTGGGAATTAACCATGGTGTCTTATGTGAACTGAACCTTTTTCAGCAAGCTGGTCTCAACAAGAGGTTTGCCAGGTCCATCGGCATCGCTGTAGACCCTCGCAGACGTAACAAGTCACATGAATCAGTACAACAGAATGCCCAGAGGCTAAAGGAGTACAAGGCTAAGCTCATCCTCTTCCCCATTCATGAGAAGAAGAAGTTGAAGAAGGGAGAGGCCACTGTAAGTACAAATTAAAGAACTGCCTTGTTGACAGGTCATTTACAGACCTGTGCCCAAATAACTGGTTGCTTTGAAATAACCTGATTGTATATTTGTGTGTTAACAAATGTCAGAGAATTATCTTTGCCTCATTACAAACTCACATAAGGTCTAAGGGTAAATTACTGCTACACACAAAGAGAAAGTTAGTTATCCCATTCTTATAGGGTATTGAGGTTCCCGTGAGTCAAAAAAAGGACTGCTACATTTTTCTTGAACAAATTTATGGAACGTTTTAACCACTAGTGATGTTTGCATGTTTTACTAATTTGTTGTTTTAGTTTTACATAATCAATTCGTGGTTACCAGTACATTACACAGTGTGATTGTATATTACAGGAGGAGGAGCGCAAGCTGGCTTCTCAGCTGAAGACAGTCGTGATGCCCATCAAGCAGACCCAGGTGCGACCCAAGGCTAGGGCTATCACAGAGGAGGAGAAGAAGTTCTCTGCCTTCACAGCACTCAGGAAGGTAAGTTGACGACCAGAAAGATATATTTAGTATGTAGGCCCTACTACTTACCTGTCGCCTTTCTTAATATATTAGCTCAACAGCCGTTGAATCATTTTAGTTTTAGCAGGTTTTATCACTCATTTTTAGGCGCCAGTCGCTGTTTTTAGACCTTTCCCCTATTGAATTTCCAGAATTTGTTCATTTATTAATCAGTTAAATACTACTACTGTTGTTTTTGTGGCTAAAATGTATTTTACTGATTATTAACGAGTTGATTTGGAAAATTAAAATTTTAGAAAACAATGTTTAAAAATCCATTGCAGTATTCTTGAAACGAAACATTTAAACAAATAATGGTTCTCTTTTAAAAAATCTCAAGAAGGCTTTGAGTTTGTTTTTTATTGAAAACACTAAACTAGATGTCAAGGTAATGAGAGGAAGTATGTGTCAGATTGCTGATACCGTTCATTTAGATTAATTTTCACTGACTACAATCATTACTTCTGTATTTTATATAAACTGAGTGCATGTGTGATGTTCACAGGCAAGGGCTGACCAGCGACTGGTTGGAATCAGAGCCAAGCGGGCCAAGGAAGCAGCCGAAAACCCTGAAGATCCTACCAAGGCTGGTAAAGAAGCTAAGGTCAAGAAAGCCAAGAAGTAAAGTGTAAAAATAAACTAATTTTGTTTTTATACCGTTTAGCTATCTATTGTTCTTAAAACCCTTCTACATCCTTCGTTTTTTTTTTCGTCAGTTTAGACAAACCAGGGTGTAAAGTTTGAAGTTGAGTAAAGGATGAGTGTTGAATGAAAAAGATTAACTTTGTTATTAGAAGGATATACATGTCCAATTTACTCCTAAAAGCTCAGGTAAAAATTTTGCTTAACGATTTACCGTTGAACATCTAAGACCAGTTTAACAATAAGTTGAGAGGAACACGTTTGATCTTTGTTATAAAAAAAGGAGGGGGTTGTAACCCAACTAGCTCAGGTTTATTGTAATTTCCAATGCTCCAGGTAGAGTACCGTAGGGGTGGTTCATACTCATAAGAAATCATACCATATCATAATATCCAGGGGTACCTAGTCTTGTTTGAAAGGGCGCCACCTTGTTATACCTTCTGGTTGCTAGTTGTTAAACAAGGAAACGGTGTCAAGCTAGTGTGATGGAATTATTAATTACACTAAGTGCCAGGATTTAAAAAAATAACAAGTATCCTCCAAACATACAGTATGTATTAGTCTTGAAACAAATCTGTATTTTTAAAACCGAAATAGATAGAAATATTCTGTTTGTAGCATTGATTCTTAACAGAGAATCAATGAGGTTGAGATAAAGACCTCCTTAGTTTGGGCCAATAAAATTATTCTTTTACTAATGGCCTTTAAAATGAGGTGTTACTTGATGGGGCTTTGCATTTAAAATTCTTTAGCTGTCCCCAATATAAGCCAATTTGTGCCACTTTAATGTTATACTAGCTGTAACCCGCGGGCTTTGCCCCGTTTAACTTCTTAATTTTCAAGATGATCTCGTTCGCATGGCTCAATCACGTCCTGGTTGAAGTTCGTTCGCTACGCTCACTCACCTTTAGGTTGGAGCTCGTTAGCTACGCTCACTCACCTTTAGGTTGGAGCTCGTTCGCTGCGCTCACTTGCCTTCGGGTTAGCTCGTTCGCTACGTTCACTTGCCTTCAGGTTAGCTCGTTCGCTACGCTCACTCGCCTCCAGGTTAAAGTTCGTTCACTACGCTCACTCACCTTTTGGTTGCAAATTTGCTGTTGTCATAAATGTAAAATAAATAATAGTGCTGCACCCTGTTGGTAATCCTTGTAACTTTAATGCTATTGAACATCATAGAGCAGAACCAACTTGTTTAATTGAAACAGCTGTTAAGATTCATTAATTCCATTTCTCATAAGGTTAACATGAGAAACTCCAGAGCCACTGGGGCGGAGCCGATTGGCCGGATCACAAAATTGATGGTGTATAAACCTATTCCATGAAATTCTACACGTATGTACCAAGTTTCGTGGCAATCGGTTCAGCGGTGTCTGAGTTTATCACTGCCAAACAAATATATCTAATATATAAAATTCTCGTGTCACAGTGTTTGTCTGCAAACTCTTCCGGAACGACTTCACCGATCGTAATGAAATTTGTTGTGTAAATTCTGTAGGTATGCGAATCGGACGTAAACTATTTCCCGTTTCAAAATTCTTAAAAGGGCTCCGCCCCAGTGGCTCTGGAGTTTCCCATGTTAACCTTATGAGAAATGGAATTAATGAATCTTAACAGCTGTTTCAATTAAACAAGTTGGTTCTGTTCTATGATGTTCAATAGCATTAAAGTTACAAGGATTACCAACAGGGTGCAGCACTATTATTTCTTTTACATTTATGACAACAGCTAAATTGCAACCAAAAGGTGAGTGAGCGTAGCGAACGAACTTCAACCTGGAGGCGAGTTAGCGTAGCGAACGAGCTCCAACCCAAAGGTGAGTGAGCGTAGCGAACGAACTTCAACCAGGACGTGATTGAGCGATGCGAACGAGATCATCTTGAAAATTAAACGTAACGGTACTTTCTTTCCATCGGTCTGTCTTAGGGGAAACCTATAACTTAGGCGATACGAAGTTCGCCGGGTCAGCTAGTATATATATACAAACATCCTCTTTTATACTTATAGATTCAGGGTTTGGTTTTCCTGGTTTAACCAATTAAAAAGTTAATAGGACTTCAGACTTTTTATTAACCCCTTGAGGAGTATGGTTTATCCGTGGTTCTACCCACAACAGGAATGCATACATTGACAAGAACGGGTTTAGTGGTTTGGCTAGAGTGTGGGAATGGAGCTTGAAGGTACTATAGGGCAGGGCACACAGCACTGCTGCAATCCACTTCAGCTACCATCAATGTACCACCATGGGGGTTATAAAACAAACCTGTTCCAATGGTGGTTACGGGTTAAGACCTTTTTATTGATGTACTACAAAACCTATGTTGCTATTTGAGTTTATCCACTTGTAAATTCTTATTTTCAAAAAAATCCTGTATGTTTAAAGCATCGATCTCTATTACTACAACTAGTCAACTTTGGCGTGGTGGTACATTTAAGGGTATTTTTGGAAAGGGCTTTTAATTGATCTGGAATAAAAATTGTCTTCCTAACATTAGTGGAGGGGTTACACATCACTTGACCTACCTTAACATTTGAAAATTTTCCTAAAATGACCTTATTGATGCGTTTGGGATATTTACAAATAAATCCCCCAATTTCCACGTGGTGAAAATATATAGGGGGTATTTTTAGCTATACATTGTGTACGGGTGGTCTGCCTTACTCTGTACAAACATTTAAATAAATACAAATAGATCAAACACCCTCGTAAACAAAAAATATTCACCAGTTCTTCAATAGTTTATTTTTAAATTTATGTTCGACATTGATCAGAGTATCCTCCCGATCATAAACCAAGAAGTCCAAACTACCCTTAGCCGTCGAACATCCCAAACTACAATTAACACATCCGTAGTCCAAATGAAATGTTTGGAGAAATACCTCCCGCAACGTGTCCGTTGTCGCAGTGACCGCAAGAAGAAGATGCCACTCGAGCTGGCAAAATGCATCTGGGTAACACAAACATCTTATACCTATTCAAGAACTACAGGGTTCAACAACAAAGGTATCCGGGCACAGGTTTTATATGCATACACTGTGAAATAATACTCCAACCACAGTAGTGTAAGGCTCCACTATAACAGGATGACAAATGTTAAACAGTGCACTTCTAAATATATTGCAGAGCAGGCAGCCATGGCCCGAGTGGACAGCTATCCACCGTGCCTGTTAGTTATTACCACCTGAGGCATTTTTTCTTAATAAAGTACAAACTAATATTAGTAAATCAGCTGATCCGCCCAATACAAATCTAATGGCAATTACAAGTTACCAGTTGTAACTTCTTTTTCACTGGCCACTAAGCTAAAAATGCAAATGGAGGTACTGGATCACTTACACCACACCATATAGAAAAGAAAATTGAGAATTGACTTTTAAAATGGAAAGATGCTAATTTCTGTTATCTTTGGCATTTGCAGCACAAAGCACTTAAATTAAAGAGCAGCACTGTTCTTACCCAGACAAATTTCAGTCATGAGCAACTATATTATATGTTGTTTTAAGTAAGGCTACATCTTTTAATAGGATACACAAATTCATTACGGAAAATTCTGATCCGGGTAATCTTTCTGAAGGCAACTTTAAGACTAAAATTGCAGTATTCGTGGAAGTGCTTTTTGTGATAAAAATATTGTTTTTTGTGTTTATTTTTAAAAGTGTATTCTTCAAGCAGCATTGTGACCCTCAAAATATGCTACATAGGCCTATTGGTTTGATATGATATAATGTTTTGTTAAATGTGTTTTAAAAATCTTTAAAAAATAACTACCCTATAACACACTTGAACTGAACACTTATTAATTTACTGAATATATACACATACAGCTAGAAAATGGCTGGACTGCTTTCCTTCTAAGGCTTTATTATTACTGTATTTAATTTTCGACGTCTAGTCAATATATAACACGATGAATTTGATTCATATGTTATTTTGTGGGGCATTGAGCCGCACAGGTTCACTAGTAATAGGTAATGGAGACGCTGGCCGTCATTATGTAAGGCACATAAGTTTAGTACATTCACGGCCCCTCGACTAGGGGATTGTGAAATTGATTACAATCTATGAGCCGATGAGCTGGTTGATTCTTCTAGTAGTAGTAGGTTAGGTAATAGCTCAGTGGTTAGGTACCAACTACAGTACCAACATAACAGATTGTAAAATTTGTCAATTTTTTTTGCAAAGTTGTGCCAGTGCTGCTGTATTTCTAGTTTAGTTGGCTTTATCACAGAAAACAAGAATTTATGTATGTATAATTCACAACCCCCTAGATCAATGTACTAAATACTGTTTTAATGAAATGGCGACCATACAAAGTAGGTATTTTAAGCCAAGTATGAATGGAGATAAGTAAGTACAACGTGCTTTATATCCTGGTACAAAACTAATAATGGTAATAAACGCCTCGAAATTCTCCCATTTAGTGCTACCTCTTGCTTTATAAAAAACAGTATTAAAGTCTAGCTCAATGTTGGTGGTATAGACCAAGGCCCCACTTCCCACTTGACATTCAAGCCGTGATTTGTTTAAATGCATAGTATCTCTATTGTCAATAAAGACGGGTTTTCCTAGATGCCGAGAGCGGAAAAGCGATTAAAACAGTGACATTAAAATTACCTAAGACTGGAGTCCGCTCTCCACGCTCCGCTTCCGCGCCTAGGAAAAGGAAAACCCAGCTTATAAATTCTATAGTCAATGATATGTTTAAAATCAGTTCAATCCAAACCAGAGTTGCTTCTCAATCTGTTTCAATCTCGCTGGCTGCTCTGAAAAAAATATAACCTGAAAGAAAACCGTCTGCCGTCTGGTCTGGTGAGGTGTTTGATTTTATTAGGCCTAGTAAGTATACTATTGTCACTTTGTACTTGTACTGTAAACACAAAGTCTTAGGAATTAGGACACTTTAGGAGGATAGGCGTACCTAGTTAGTCTGGTTTAGTTTCTTCGAAAGACGTACAATCTTACGCTCAAACGGTTGTAATTATTGTGAATCTAGTTGAGGTATGTACAAGAGATTTTTATTCATTTGCTCATTTTTATTCACAAAGGGCACAGTTGTTTTGTTGTTAAAAATAGTTTCTCTCTCAGTTGGGTGGTTTTAGGAGTAGGCCTACAACACAAAAGGGTAATTATATCGACCTCCGGACCTCACGCGAAATTAAAATTTTTTTTTTCAAAATGGTCGAAATTTCACGTTGATTTCAAAAATGATTGTCGTTTTTTGCGGAAACGTCCCGTTTTCCCAGAAAATGGGAAAAACGGGAAAAACTCTTTTTTGCTCAAAACCCATGTTGTGGGTACTCAAATTGTGCGGAATTTCCTCCTGAACAAGAATACGAATTACGATCGGACCACTATTAAGTAAAATATCACCAGAAAAGTGGGCCATATTTAAATAACAAAGGTTAGGTCAGGTTACTTTAGGTTAGGTTAGGTTACTTTAGGTTAGGTTAGTTTAGGTTAGGTTAGTTTAGGTTAGGTTAGGTTAAGTTAGGTTAGGTTAGGTTAGGTTCGGTTGGGATAGTTTACATAGTTACAATACTCATGTTATTGATAAACTATTCTAACCTAACCTAACCTTTTAGGTTAGGTTAGGTTAGGTTACTTTAGGTTAGGTTAGGTTAGGTTAGTTTAGGTTAGGTTAAGTTTGGTTAGGTTAGGTTAGGTTAAGTTAGGTTAGGTTAAGTTAGGTTAGGTTCGGTTGGGTTAGTTTACATAGTTACAATACTCATGTTATTGATAAACTATTCTAACCTAACCTAACCTAAAGTAACCTAACCTAACCTAACCTTAAGTAACCTAGCCGAAGTTGTTAGGTTAGGTAGGTTAGGTTAGTTTACATAGTTACAATACTCATGTTATTGATAAACTGACCTAACCTAAAGTAACTTAACCTAACCTAAAGTAACCTAACCTAACCTAAAGTAACCTAACCTAAGTTGTTAGGTTAGGTTAGGTTAAGTTTGGTTAGATTAGGTTAAGTTAGGTTAGGTTTGGTTGGGTTAGTTTACATATTTACAATACTCATGTTATTGATAATTTAACCTAACCTAACCTTACCTAACCTAACTTAACCTAACCTAACTTAACCTAACCTAACCTAACCAAACTTAACCTAAACTAACCTAACCTAACCTAACCTAACCTAAACTAAACTAACCTAACCTAACCTAAAGTAACCTAACCTAACCTAAAGTAACCTGACCTAACCTTTGTTATTTAAATATGGCCCACTTTTCTGGTGATATTTTACTTAATAGTGGTCCGATCGTAATAAAAATTACATATTCTTGTTCAGGAGGAAACTTCGCACAATTTGAGTACCCACAACATGGGTTTTGAGCAAAAAAGATTTTTTCCCGTTTTTCCCATTTTCCGGGAAAACGGGACGTTTCCGCAAAAAACGACAATCATTTTTGAAATCAGCGTGAAATTTCGACCATTTTGAAAAAAAAAATTTTTAATTTCGCGTGAGGTCCGGAGGTCGATATAATTACCCACAAAAGCATTAATGTGATTTCCACTAAACTTGTGTACACAGCTTAAATAATTAGGCCTACCTAGGCTAATTAAGTTATGCATATATTTACCCAGATTGGTCCTGTAGCTGTGTTCTAGAATATTTTTGTGAAAATCAAAACATGTAGGTAGCCTAAATGAACATTTTTTATTCTGCAGGTTTGCTGCGGTGGGGGTTCTATAAAGAATTGCTACCTACCAATAGGCTAATTAGAACTTTCTGACCCTTAGAATCGGACAATCTTAACACGTTCGCTGCTGACCGCTATATGCCGGGACGGCGCCAGGAGCTGAACCAATGCTCCCCAATGCGTAACATTGCCGCCGATACACTGAATTACAGTAAAAACAACAGCAGTTATACTGGATGGCAATGTTCTGCAATAAAACTGGCTTTGGACATAGTACTAAGCGATTCTGATGGATAGCAGCATTACTCAGGTTGCAGTCGGTAAAGTAGTGTGTCGCTATCTAGCAGGAAAGAGGTGGGGTAAAGCCCTGTTCTAAACGACCCTGGTAGTGATTTTGGGAAACTATATTTTTTATTGTCAGTAAAGTACGTCCCCACGAGCTGCAAAGAAATACAGGACGCTCGTGACGAGCTGGCTGATCCATGGAAACCTGAAACAACAATGAACGGTGACGTTCCTAGCTCCTGGCGCCGTGGCTTAGCTGACGTTCCTGAACGTCTGTAGCAGCGAACGTGTTCAAGAATATTCATAGCACCAATTTAAAATATTCAAATGCAATTCTCAAAGGTCTATTATACTATATGCTATATAATAAAACGCTCTATGTATTATCTAAATGAATTGAGGCAAAGTATTGCACCCCTTAAACCGAGACCTTCACTAACTTAACTTTTCTATGAAACAAATATCAATTTTTTTAGCAAATTCCCCTGTAGAAAATAAGCTATTACCCTAGGAATCATGGAAAGACCTAGACACTGCACCACTTCAATGTGTGTCAGCACAAAAATTGAGTATAAATTGTCAAATTTTGATGACATTTGGTACTTGTGTTTATTCTTATTCGAACAAGTTCACCGCGAACCAGCATGATCAGACTATGAGAATGGGGTTAAAATTGGTTTCTCTAATTTTTACTTCAAAATACAAAATTTTTAATTAGCCTAAGCTTAGGCCTTCACTTTTAGTAAGCTTATATTGAGCCTTGTTGTAAATCTAACAGTTACAGAAACTCATAAAAAAACTAAGTTATAAATTTAAAATTCCCATGTTACTCTTGTGCAGAATATGTACATGTAGTTTATTGTTTTTCTAAATATCTACCTATCTGATCAAATTTGGTAAATTTATTTCACACAAATCTATTAATGACAAAAATAACATTTTTAGACCTTCCTTGTAGCACCAATTCTAAGTAAGTTACTCACTAAAACTAATTTATTTAAGTAAATAGTCTATTATCATTTTTAAAGAAATATTTCAGGGCAAATCGAATCAGGAATAGGCCTACATATAGAAATTTGTTAAGCCTAGCTAACCTGATTGTTCCAGGTTCAGCTGTCAACAAGATGACTCTCAAATTTTGTGCCAATCTATCATTCATGTACCACGAGTCCGCTTCTCTTCTAGAACGTTACCATCTAGCAAAGCAGAGTGGCTTTCGAGCAGTGGAGTGCGCTTTCCCATACTCATTTCCAGTGGAAGAAGTCAAGCGAGCAAAAGAAAGTGCACAAGTGGAACAGGTTCTTCTAAATGTCAATCCTGGAGATTTGGAGAAGGGAGAACTTGGTTTTGCAGCTCTTCCTGGTCAACAAGACAGGTTCAGAAGCAGTCTTGACCAAGCAATCTTGTACAGCAAAGCCTTGGATTGCAAACTTATTCACATCATGGCAGGCAAAGTGACTAGTCCGTCCGAGGAAAACATCAGAGTATACGAGGAAAATCTGATCTACGCATCCTCATTACTGAAGGAAAACAATATAGTCGGTGTGATAGAACCAATCAACAGCATTTCAATACCAGGTTACTACCTGAATAGTTATCGAAAGGCACTTCAAATCGTGAAAAACATTAACAGTCCAAATATCAAACTCCTTGCTGACCTTTTTCATTGGCAGATGATGAAAGTAAACTTGGTAGATAGCTTTAGAGAATCGGTTGATTACATAGGACATGTTCAAATAGCCCAAGCTCCTCATCGAAACGAGCCAGACACTGAAGGGGAAATTGACTTCAAAGCGATCTTTTCGTTCTTGGAATCCCAGAAGTACAACGGCTGGATTGGGTTGGAATACAAACCCCTCACAAATACACAGTTTGGCCTCAAGTGGATTGTGGGGATGGGATACAGTTTATAAAACTGTTGTTAAATGTGGGTAACAGGGTATGTTTTTGAGCGTGAAGCTCTCTGAATCGGATTAGTACAAACAACAGCTTTCTATTTAGATTCTTCTCTTTTAAGGATCAGACTATGGATTATTTTGGTCTTCAACTGTAAAATACCCTTAAAGGTAACTAACAGTAAAGTGACTGTGAACTTAACTGGAGCAAAGTAAACTTGGCCGTCTGCATCAAACGGAACAAAATAAGAGTGAGTGTACTGTAATAAAATAATCTACATTACATATTTAAGCTCACTATTAGCTATTCTGTAGTATCATGATCTTACACTAGAACTCAAATTATCCCAATCAATTGGGATTATACCAAATTCGGATAGTTTCACAAAGTTCAGTTAGTTGGATTTTTAACAAAAATTTGGGGAATTTTACAAAAAAAGAGGTAACAGTAGACCTCCAATCATCTGAATCATTTGGGATTGGGACTGTACCACATTCGGATATGAAATAATTCTGATAATTGGGTTTTCCCGGAAATTTTCTTACTGTACTAGTACTAGTACATCAATTCTGTTCCAAGTCTGCAAGGATTTGATACAAATGAGCTATCTAAATAGGTGATAAGAGAACCAGTCTTCCATTAGTTCTTATATAATCTGTAAATATGTGTATTCCGCAGTACTGTTAAGTGAAAGGTATTTAATGTTAATGTTGTTACTATTACTATCAATATTTATACAAATGTTATCACTGTAATATACAAATATATATTTTTACAAAAATTATATTATTTCAACACCATATAGCCCATGTTACAAGTATGAATGGTTTTGTCAAACAGTCAGAAAATATTCTATCTCTTTAGCCAGGAATTTAATTGCAAATTCAATTTATTTCTTTTAATTAACTTCTTTTGGCTACAAATAGCAAAAGTATACATTGTAAAAACTCAAGCCATTGTTGATAGCAGGCCTATCTCAAGGCCAAATAAAAAAAAAACTTTTTAGTGTGGCCTTGCCTATCTTCAATAGGCCTAACATTTTAACTAACACTTAAGAAACTGCTTTCAGAATAATATTGTCATCATGGGAACAATTTTTTTAAATGGAGGTTATTTAATTGAGATATTTTAATTAGTTAGGGCCAGGGTAAAATAGTATGTGAAATTGGTTCACAGTAGATTATTAGACTTCTCAACTAAATGTATGACTGGGAAAATGGTCAGTTAAAAATTAGTATGGATAGGTACTTACTAATTTTAAACTGACTATTAAAATACTAGTGAACTATATTTCATCACTAGCTCATAAAGTGACTCTTTTCAACCCGAGTTCGAGTTTCAAGGCCGAGATATGAAAATACACTGTTTGCCTGTGTGATGAATGATATTTTTCCTCATGTTGAATCATAATAGAGCAAACTAACTAAGCTAGAAAACGAAAAAACTTTTCATGTAATTATAACCCCTCAAAACGACTTGTTTTCAATTTTGCTAAAGCAAACAAACAGCTGTTTAAGTAAGTGATTAAATCATTCCTCTAATATGATTGTGTTAGTGTCCCATGGATATGATGAAATATTGACAAGAATGCAACAAAAGCCAAGACCGATTAAATCAATTGATACATAATTCAATACATGCAATTAATTGCTTCCAATTGAAGTTTACAACAGCTGATTTTTACTACCTAGGGACTAAATAGTATATTTCGTACCTAAGGCCGAAAATGAGGTTTGGCCGACTCGAGATCGAGAGCTGCAAAACCATTTCGGTCCGTGGTACAAACGCTATTTTTCACCACACTATACCCTATTACCACTATTCACCACAATAACAATGCACATTGATAGTCAACACAACTACATCTTTAAGGTTATGTGAAGAAATAATTTGAGGAATCAGCAAAAATAATAATAAAGTACCTGGGGACCGAGCTTTGCTCGGGGAAAATCATTAGTTCACTCTGAAAGCAGTCTTAGTATTGGAGAGACATAAATCCATTCCCAAGCTCCACACGGCTCGCCTTTTACTACGTCCTACACCATTTCCTACGTCATGGACCTATTTCCCTGCATTCCCATTGCACTTTAGGATTGTAGATACCTTAATCTAATCGTTATTAACAGATCCCACACTCCGGACAGCTCGCCTTGACTACTTCCTTCACCACTTCCAACGTAGCAGACCTGTTTTCCTCCCTTCCCTTAGCATTTCAGAATTGCAGACACCTTAATCTAATCGTCATAAACAGTTCCCACGCTCCATACTACTTGCCTTTACTACTTCCTTTACCACTTCCAACGTAGCAGACCTGTTTTCCTCCCTTCCCTTAGCATTTCAGAATTGCAGACACCTTAATCTAATCGTCATAAACAGTTCCCACGCTCCATACTACTTGCCTTTACTACTTCCTTCACCACTTCCTACGTCGCAAACCTGTTTCCCTCCCTTCCCATTGCATTTAAATATTGCAGATACCTTAATCTAATCGTCATAAACAGTTCCCACACTCCGGACTACTCGCCTTGACTACTTCCTTAACCACTTCCTACTTCGCGGACCTGTTTCCCTCCCTTCCCATAGCATTTTAGGATTGCAAATACCTTAATCTAATCGTCATAAACAGTTCCCACACTCCGGACTGGTCGCCTTGACTACTTCCTTCACCACTTCCTACGTCGCGGACCTGTTTCCCTCCCTTTCATAGCATTTTAGGTTTGCAGATACCTTAATCTAATCGTCATAAACAGTTCCCACACTCCGGACTACTCGCCTTGACTACTTCCTTCACCACTTCCTACGTCGTGGACCTGTTTCCCTCCCTTCCCATAGCATTTTAGGATTGTAGATAACTTAATGTAATAATCGTTGATAGTTCCCACACTCCAGACAGCACGCCTTGACTACTTCTCTCATCACTTCCTACGTCACCGACCTGTTTCCCTCCCTTCCCACGGCATTTTAGGTTTGCAGATACCTTAATCTGATCGTCATAAACAGTTCCCACACTCCGGACTGCTTGCCTTTACTACTTCCTTCAACACTTCCTACGTCGCGGACCTGTTTCCCTCCCTTCCCATAGCATTTTAGGATTGTAGATACCTTAATGTAATCTTCATTAATAGATCCCACACTCCGGCCATCTTGCCTCGACCACTTCCTACGTCGTGGAACTGTTTTCCCCCCTTCCCATAGCATTTTAGGATTGCAGATACATTAATCTAATCGTCATAAACAGTTCCCACACTCCGGACAGCACGCCTTGACTACTTCCCTCACTACTTCTGCTTGCCTTGACTACTTCCTTCACCACTTCCTACGTCGCGGACCTGTTTCCCTCCCTTTCATAGCATTTTAGGTTTGCAGATACCTTAATCTAATCGTCATAAACAGTTCCCACACTCCGGACTACTCGCCTTGACTACTTCCTTCACCACTTCCTAGGTCGTGGACCTGTTTCCCTCCCTTCCCATAGCATTTTAGGATTGTAGATAACTTAATGTAATAATCGTTGATAGTTCCCACACTCCAGACAGCACGCCTTGACTACTTCTCTCATCACTTCCTACGTCACCGACCTGTTTCCCTCCCTTCCCACGGCATTTTAGGTTTGCAGATACCTTAATCTGATCGTCATAAACAGTTCCCACACTCCGGACTGCTTGCCTTTACTACTTCCTTCAACACTTCCTACGTCGCGGACCTGTTTCCCTCCCTTCCCATAGCATTTTAGGATTGTAGATACCTTAATGTAATCTTCATTAATAGATCCCACACTCCGGCCATCTTGCCTCGACCACTTCCTACGTCGTGGAACTGTTTTCCCCCCTTCCCATAGCATTTTAGGATTGCAGATACATTAATCTAATCGTCATAAACAGTTCCCACACTCCGGACAGCACGCCTTGACTACTTCCCTCACTACTTCTGCTTGCCTTTACTACTTCCTTCACCACTTCCTATGTCGTGGACCAGTTTCCCTCCCTTCCCATTGCATTTTAAGATTGCAGATACCTTAATCTAATCGTCATATACAGTTCCCACACTCCGGACTGTTTGCTTTTACTACTTCCTTCACCAATTTCCCACACTCCACACTGCTAGCCTTTACTACAATCATAGATAAAAAAGTCCTGCTACAATGTATCGAGTAATCTTCAGTATAATCTTTGCTCAATAGTAACAACTGATGTTTTTTTTCCTTTTGTACTGTATTTTGTTTTGCTAGTATACTGTGGATAGACAACTTACAAGCCTTTTGTTTACTTTTTCCTTGTTATTTAATTCAGCCAACATGGTTACCTAGCAACCCATAAGACTAATGTTAGAAAAATGTGATTTTCAGTTTCATTTTTCTACGTAATTAGATTTTTGTTGGCAGTTCTAAATGCAGTAAACTCGTTTTTAGGCCAGAAATAAACTATTTACAACATTTGAAGAAAATCGTCGGAGCCGTTTTCGATATCTTTTTTGCAAGCAAGCAAGCAAGCATACATACATACAAGCAAACATTGCTCGTATTAGAGTATAGGATAGTTGCTAGGCAGCGGGGACAATAAAACAATTCCACTTCAATGCTATGGGTACTGATTGTGTATTTAACCTTCCGTCGGGCGCATTGATTTTCAAACACCAAAGGGCGCTCACGGAAGTTACCTCCGGGAGTACAAAAACTATACAATGATGAGTAAAAAACATTTTAATAGCAATAAAACTGTAAGAACACATTTTTTATGAGTTATTACACTATCACTTAAGCTGTATATCAAATAGAAAATGTTTTAAATAGAAAAAAGATTTACTTTTTGTACTTATACAGTACTATTGTATATTAGAAAACAAATTTTAATATTGTATGACATAAAAAATAATAATTTTGTAACTTACAAGGACAACTTATTCAATCAAAGGTCTTAGACAAAAACTGCATCAGTGTATGACATAAAAACACCTATGGTAGCCTATTATCAAAAAAGAAGGACTTAACTTTCTTTGTCAAAGCTCTTTAAAAAAAGTTCCAATGGTGTTTGAAATAAAACACCTATTGTTTAATGCAAAAAATCATTTTTTAGAAGGACTACACATTTTGTCAAAGTTCTTTTTCTTAAAAAAAAGTTTCTAAACTCACGCACCATTAGTTCTTGCTACTAAGTTAAATGTTGTTCCTTGTCTTCCCTTTCAACACTAGCCTACAATCTCGCAATTAGTTCTTCTTCATCCATTTTATAATATCGCTAAATAAGGTCAAACACGAGGGTGCACACGGAACTAGGCTCCGGGAAACCCGTTGCATCACAGGGGGACTGGAAGCTACTTCCAGTAGTTACGCGAACCACTCCCCAAGGTCGACTGACAACTGGGAAAGGGGTAAGAGTATACAAAACTGATTCCGCAAAAGAGGTTCATGAGGAAAATCAGGCCACAGCCCTGCCGAACACATACTATGGTTTTTATAACAAAAAAAGTAGTGACCCGGAGGTAACTTCAGTGATGCGCCCGATGAAAGGTTAATATGCATTCATGTTTTAAGGAAGTAAGCGGGCAGCTGATTTTGCGGCCCTAGGGATGTAAAAACCTGCTCGGTCCAATAATGACGATGACAGAAAGCGTAACTTTCAGCCACCAATTAACGTATGTTAAACAGCTAAAAACGTCATAGTGTGGTGAAAAAGGCACATGTATTACAGCGGCTGTTTTTGCTGCAGTATGAAAAAAAGAATTATTGTATTTTATACCCTACCCGTATCTACTTAGTTCATAGAGGGATTCAATTCTTGAAATTCAGTTTAAAAACTAACAAAAAAATGTTACAGCAATAGTGCGAAGTTGCACTTACCTACACATGAGAAAAATGTTTAGGCACAAGCCGCAGGAGATTGTGGAATACTTCCCAAGTGTAGCAAAGGCAGTTTGCACTCGTGTTACACATTTTTCCTACAGATATTATAAAGCATAGAAGTAATTTATGATTAGCTGGTATAGCAATCCTCCCCCTTTATTTTTCTTCATATATTTACAATCTTCTTATTTGGTCCACATGTCTTTTCCACATAAGTCTTTAAAACACTAAACAATACGTTATAGATTAGGTTAAATCCAAGTATTGATGGAAATGGGAAACTAATCACAGTTGCTAGACTAATATAGTCTTATCTATTCTCTTACATTGTACAAAATTTGTTGGGAAAAACCACAGGAAAAAACTGGTTAGATGAAACAAAATACACATATTTTCTTACAAAGTTTGAAAGTGAATACACAGTTAAAATACAATCATAAATTAAAGTGAAAACAACTGCATTTGTGTTACTGGCTAACTGTTTAGTAAGATTGTAGGCCTACACGTCCACAAAAAAATACTACAAAATTATTACATTATAAAAAAAGAATTTTAATAGAAACAGCTAGAAAACTATATATTCAACATACAAAATTGTATACACTGCCAAATAAAATACAAATCTTAACCTAACATTACTATATACAATATTTATAAAGTAAATACTAACCACATAAAAAAATAATACATTAACATATGAATTGTCCTGAAGTCACAATTCATTCAAGTTTGTCATAAACTAATGGAACAGAAATTGTTAGCTCAAATACGAGTGGTTACAATATTACAATAGTAAATCACTTCAAATTGTTACAATATTACCAAAGTAAATCACTTCATGTACTAAATATACTTATAATTATAATAAAAGTCAAGAACACATTAGGTTTCATATTATGATTTATTCAGCCATGTAGTTTGTGTTGGTTTAGCTGTCATCGTCTATGATCCAAAGCATATTCACTCCCGATCTTCCTAAATTGATGCGGCCTAGGATTCCATGATCTTTGGTGTTCACAGTGTGAAGAAACAGCAATATCGTGAAGAACAGATTGTTTCTTCCCTGGAAAATTAATTTTGGTTTGAGTAGACTTAAAAAGAAACTAGGAGGATTGTTCTTGAATTTTAAAACATTTCGACAAATCTCAGCTGTTGTTTTAAAGGTAGGATCAGGGGGATAGATTTCTTCCCATAAAACCGTGTGTTGCTTTACCAGTGCTTAAAAATGGGTGTAAGATGCAAAAGAGAATAGTTTTCTGTTATTGAAAGTTAAGTTGTTTTGCACTTATAGAGGTTACTTGATACTGTTGTCTTTATCTCTAGTCCCTCAAGATAAAAGTTAAATCCAAGGTAATCTGTCTATCAAGGAAATAATAGAGAGTTTTGTTTTGTACTATACTTTGATTTCAACATGCTGATTCCAAAAGTCAAACGCTACTTTTGTTTGCAGCTTTGAAAAATCATAATATTGTTTTGCTATGCCCTGATCAGAAAATTTTGCCCAACCTAAAATAGTTATTTGTGTAACTAGTGGTGAAAGTGGCACTTTGCTGCACACGAGAGCAATGTTTACGCACGAGCCGCAGGCGAGTGTGGAATGATCTCGAGTGCAGCAAAGGCCTTTTTCACTCGTGTTACACATTATATTTTTCCTACAGTCACTATAAAGCATAAATAATTAGTCTTTCAAACACTATGCAACACGTTTTTAGGTTCAGCTGGCAACACAAATGGAAATGGTGCCCTAGAGAAAGTAGTACCCGCGGTTCATATCACTCCGCTATTTTTCCTCGGCAAGAAATGTGCTCCGTGTTTTGAGAATATAGTTCCGTATGTTTTTGTAATTTGAAGTGGTTTCCGCGCCTAAAAAAAATGCTTAAAAGGTATTTTCTTGTTTATTAAGATCGTAGGAAGGTTTTAAAAACGTTTAAAAGAAAAGTCCAGAAAGTTCAGAAATACCGAAACTATAAACACAAACTGACAGGTTAAATCGTAGTTATAATAGTCAATCAGCTGCTAATAGTATAATTATCTTTAAGTGTTGCCAACCTATTTCCAAGCGTACACGGATTACGTGCATAATGGAACCACGCTGTTTTGTGTTGTTTCGTTGGAATCCTGATGTGCGGCAAAGTATAAACCGTACGGCAAAGTATAAACCGTACGGCAAAGTATAAATATGCAGCAATTACCAGCTTTCTGTACTATAAACAGTACAAGGAAGCCAACTTTGTCGGGTGACTGTAGGAAAAATATATTTTTTTAAATCGGGACTTCTATATCAGCTCAAACAATACATTATCTATAATAATATAAAACACTTTGCGTAGTCTAAATTCAAATCCATATCTTGAAAACATTCCCAGATAACTGTAACAGTAAAGATTAGATCATAAGACAATTTTACAATTACAATGTAACTGTTTTGTGACATACACCCTAAGTAAGTTGTTTTTTATGTATACCTACTTGACAACACGATAACATTATATCACATTTTTTAACTTTCTTATCAACAAAAGCAATCTAATAAATAAAATATTTTGTGTACTATTAAAATATGGTCTACATAGAAAAAAAAAAGAAAAAAAAAACAGCTTAAGCATGCAGATAAAAACCCAACAAATATTGGGTCATTTGGTTGTGTGCTAAGCAAAGTGGTAGTGGAATGTGTTTGATATGGCCAAAGACATAAGTGAGACAGAGACAGGTTTGGTCCATGCATATCCAACAAATTTAGGAAGGTTTAGACATTTTGAATCACTTTCCCATGAGCATTTTGAGTTTCTCTCTTAGGCTCATATCATGTGAATGCTATTGCTGTCGCGCAGATGCCGTCGAGATAGCGCCCGAAAAAGGCCATATCATACAAGACGGCAAATGCGTTGATCCCTTTCCACCTACGCCGGATGCCTGTCATATGTAGCCTCTTCTGGGCGCATTTGCAGTCGCGGCACTTATTTCCAGGATGGACACCATTCAGTTAGGTCGTGTAAGCTTTTTGCACATTATCGAAGAGTATTATCGCAAGAATCCAGGACGATAGGGAACCGAATTCCCAAGCATTGTGCCTTTAGTTGCCTGTTGCTATAATCACTCCACTTTACGTCGTACAAAGGAGGACATTTTTCAACTGTATAAATAATTTGTTCTGTGTCAAACGTGATTACTTCAAAAAGGTCTTCCAGTTGATGTGTCAGTAGACGGGGGGGGGAAGGGTCCCGGTGACGCTAGCACTCCCTATGACAGGGTCCCCCCCGTCACTAGCACCGTGTCGCCAATGCGACCGTCCGCATTGGCAGCGCTCAGCGTCCAGCCTACGCGGATTCGCCAACGACATTAGCGTCCTTATGACTAGCTTCATAAAAACCCCATTGCCTGGTTAGAGCGGGATTACCGTGGCGGCAATAGCGCTCGTATGATATGGGCCTTAGAAAAAATGCTTCTTTGGTTATTTTATTTTGGAAAAAAACTTTTTGTGGTATGATTGATTCCTCCTAGTAGAGCCAAAACCTACTTAAGAGAAACAATATTTACTAATCCACTAACGTGGATAGATGGTGAGCAGCTGTTGGCGAAGCCAAAAACCTCGTATTTACATACAAAAACACTTTGATTTACCTTGGGAGTGTGGAAAGTGTCAGTCTTAGTTTGCAAAATGTAGTTGGGAGGCTGACTAGATGTCTCTACAATACACAACTGTCCTGGGTGTGGTTTATTCGGCTGCTTCACCAGATGTTGGGAGGAGAATGGGCGAGTGTCAGGCAGTGACGTCTGTAACATTATGTAAGGTTACAAAACTGTGCATTATACTTTTGAGGAAAAAACTAGACCAATATTTGTGTTCTTTAGCAACTCCTACTAAATTACTCCAGCAAAAATAAGTTATATCATTGCCTTTGGATACTGAAAGTTATACTAAAAGAGAGAGTTAAGTGGCTAATTGGGTGATTTAAAAAGGAATAGTTCAGCCAGCTTACTGAGAAAGACCACTCGAACCATCACTCAAGAATCACTCAGGTTCAATTGCTTCAGGGGCAATACACTGCCGGCGACTATCGCTCAGCTACTATAGCAAGAGTCGCTTCAGGCACAATGCACCGTTACTTACCTGAGGCAGTTGGCAGTCAAGGTAGGTGGCCAACAGATGTAACACGAGAGCCGAGTCAGTAGGCAGTGCTGGTGTCCACTCCTTGCCTTCCCACATACCTCCACTGCTCCAATGATATTCACTCATACACCCTCCCCTGGCCAGCTCTGTACAGAACAACAAGTCTTATTTTGAATGGAATTAAATTAAACACCTACGGTAATAGCTACCTCCATATAGGGGAATTCTCTAAAATGAAACAAATCAACAACAAACGTACCTAACTAAAAAGCAATGCAATAAAAATATTCAGCATGGATTTTATTTATTGAATACATAAACAGACTTGACTGGTCGACTTTACCTTTGATCCTGGACACAACGTACTCCTGGTTCTGGGAGATCTCAAGGAAAGGCACGAGTCTTGCAAGACTGGGTACATTCAGCACCACCTGAGGTATCTGAGCAGTCTTCTTGAGCCGCTCCAGTCCGACCATTCCCACCGTCACGTCAACCAGACCTTGGGCGTGAAGAGCCGCGTCTACCTGCTTCATCTCACTGACTAACCTGCCTAGGATGGTCTGAGAGATCCACTGCGAGAGATGATTAAAATTTAACTCATGACACTGATATATACCTTTTTTTTTTATCAAGATAAATAAAGGCAGCTAAGAATAAACAATCAAGTCAGGGTAGATATAATTTCTGCAGAATCTTTGAAAATAGTCACACAGTTTTGGGGGAAATAATAAGTCAGCTGAGAGCTCATTGGTTGAATTAGTACTCTCCTTTTTTTTTTTTTTTTGTTAAAAAAAAAGAGGTTGGCGGCCTCTTTTAACCTTGCATTTGCCCGTCCACATAGACTAAGCGCCCGTGCGTGGATCGTTTACAGCTAAGCAAGGAGTGAGCCGGTACAGTACAAAGGTGAACTGTACTGATAAAATGTTATCGGCAGTGACCAGGATCCGAACCCACGACATCGCTGCCATGGGCCCGAAGTCCGCGACGCTACCGACTGAGCCACCGCCTCACTACACAAGGAATACATCCTTACTATTTGAAAGTCTCCAGTTCGATCCTGAGAAGTCAGTAGTTTTTTGATGGTTTGAAACTGAAACTGGACCCAGCTGTCCTTGTTCATTGATTGAGCATTTCATAAATGGTTCAGGTTAAAGAAACATCTGATTTTAGTAACAAAACACAAGACTTCTCTGTTCTCAGTCATCCCCACTCAGCTATAGGGCCTCGTTTTCCTCGTCACTAATGGATGAGAACCTCTTTAGAGATGGAGTGGCGCGTGACGTCACTCTTCTCTTGAGGGATCACCATTACCGTAACGAGACGATATGATTCCATCGGTGTTTGTGGTGTAGTTGATAGCGTCTCGGACTGATGTTCTGGAGGTCTCCAGTTCCAATCCCGCCGGGGACGCTAACTTTTTGTCTAAGATTTTGCTTAGAATGTGAATACTTCTTAACTGTACATCTTTTGTTAGAATTTGAGGCATTTGTAATTTTATTTATGAACAGAACTATTTTTTAAAGTTAGTAACCTAAACCTTCATTCGATTTTTATCTTATTATTATTTTCTATATTATCAGCAAGTTTGGTTGGTTAGGTTAGGTTATGACAGTTTAATTTTATAATAAAAAAAATTAAAATTATATTTATAATTAAAAAGTTAATTTTATAACTGAAAAATTATAAAATAAATTTTAAGATTTTTTTAAATCAACGTGAGGGGCTCTCCTACAATCCCCCACTTCTTCGTAGGAAAGGTTCTCATCAGTTCCGTTCCGGACAAGGAAAATGAGACGCTTGTCCCACTCAGCTTGCATTCAGATTTGGGTTGAAATACAAGCAGTTGCCATACCACCTCCATAAAAGTGATACAGTAATTAAAAATCAGAGACAAAAGGATAATGTCTGAAGTAGTGATGGACAAGACCCGAAACTCCAAACAAGACAAAATGTTTTTATCTCAAAGCTTCGGGCGGGATTATACTAATACTATATATTTTCAAGACGATATTAAACAAAAAATTAAAAAATATAATTTTTAACCAGATGCTCAAAGTTTTGGTTATTAATTTAGCTTTTTAACTTTCAGGTTAATGATTCAGATAAATGTAAACTGGGTCAGGTGGAAAGTTTTTACAATCTGGGATGAGTCAACAGGATCAAGCACATTACTACTTTGCTTACCATTCGCAGATTGGCCGTCCACTCTGTCAACACCGTTGGGTTTATCTTAGTCCGTCGCCACACATCTGCATGTTGGTATGATGAGGGAGACCCAGTCTCATCCCCTGTACCCACTCCACTCTGGGTCTGTGCTGAAACATTCAATAAAGTGGTTAAAAACATTGCATGATAAATTTGCTTGGGTGAAAAATGTAAAAAAAAAAAGAAAATATCAGCTGTGTGTGATGAAAACAATCCAGCAGATTTTTTCTTGGCCTTAAGGTTGAAAAGTAACACTTAGCTAAAGCTTGCAATGCATGTTTTGAATGTAGCCGTTTTTGCTGCAAACTTTATTTGAACTTAAACAAATATCGACATCCGACCATAAGATTAAAATATTTTATACAAGAAAACAATTTGGGATTAAAAATTTAACATCCTGCCGTGCTAGTTAGCAACAGTTTTAAGCGTCGCAATGATCCGGCGTTTTCTTTAAGCTTCCTCCCCTTCATCACTAATCGAACTCACCCACCGAGTGGCCACGTCACGTCGTTGCCGGTTGTCGCCAGACTGCCCGCACTGGCTGTAGTCAGCACTGTCGGTGCCGCATCGTCTGTTTACTAATGTGGTGTTTAGTTCTCTGATTGATTATTCATCATGTTGTTTGTTAGTTATGCAAAGAGTCTAGTCCGAATTACTTGCAATGAATAACAAAAAGCGAAAGTAGACAGTGAAAATAGACAGTTTTTACCAGAGTGGACGGACCAGTATTTGTTTATACTTCCAAACAAAAGTGGAGCTGTGCCTGTGTGTTTGATATGTCAACAAACTGTATCTGTTGTCAAGAGTTTGAATGTTAAACAACACTTTGAGACTAAACACAAGCCTATAGGAAGCGATCTTCGCAAGTCTAAGATTGAGAGTTTACGTTCAAACTACTTAGCTAGTACCCAGATATTAAATCGAACAATGTCTGCCCAAGAAAGATGTGCAGACTCTGTGCCCCCCAGAAACTTGTCCGGCCCGTGACAGTTTTATAGGAACTTGGAATGGACCTTCATAAAATGTAATTGGTGATCACTGGTGTAAAACATAAAGCAGCAATTGACAGCAGCCCATTCTGTTGAAGGCTCAATTTAAATATGTTTTCTAACAATCTAAATTTAGTTTCAACTCTCAATCTATCCATAGATCTAAGCTCCAGAATAGAAGATAGGACTAGGTCCTGATTGTGCTTGGTTAAAAGACCCCAAATATGTGTGTTCTTTTTTAAAAAATAATTTAAATCACAATAATAAACCTTTGTTCATTACTCTTGCTTTTTATTTCTCTGTGTTTTAAAAATATAGCTAGGTAAAATCTTTGTTTGCCTTTGCCGATAGGAGATAACTGAAATTTAAAACAATAAATAGGCCAAACTCAAAACAAAGTGTTTATATTTTCAAACTATATGTTTTGGAAATGTAATGAAAAGTAAGGAGCTTACCTGGAGAGATAGACATCTGGTAGGTACATCTACGCAGCAGTGGTGACACTTCAGTGGTTGTCCGAGACGCAGGGTGACACCAGAACCCACTCAGCATGTTGGAAGGCTGTTCCATACTGGTCTCTGTAGACAAAATGTTGCTAATATTTTATTCAAAACTAGCAGCTGTACCCGTGCCTCGCAACGGGGTCAGTATGCAAAAGAGACAACGTTGGTTCTTTGAAAATGCCTTAAAAATGGTTGCACTCGAACACCATGTTCTTCCAAACCTTCTCAATTCTATTAACCTCTGAGCCTTCTTGATAAAGGTTGTTTAATGCCTGAAAACGGTTAGCCAGTTTGAGCTGAAAATCTTTCCTTACTTTTTCTTCTCCTAGCTTTTCAAAATTAATATTTGTTGAAGTTTTCTATTTTGTTTGTTTCTCTATCTTAATTCTCTATCGTAGATTGACTAGAATAAGGTAGTGGTCTGACCACATCCTGCGTTCCTTATGCTACGTAAATTGGTGATATGACTACTGTCGAGTCAAAAAGGATAGATAGAGTACTCGAGTTTGAGCTTTTATTGCAACGTAACCAGTAGACTTAGAAAAATACAAGTTACATCATATTTTTACTAATTTATTTCTGCGTGTAGGCCTATGTGTGTTGGTTTCAAATTTTGTATGCAGTTTCAACTCAGCCTTTCAGCGGGTTCAAGTTCATTCCATGTAATCCGTCCTGTATCCGAGGCATACTGTTGGTTTTCCGAGGTGAGTTGTTGGCCCGACGCTCAACCCCCACAAGCCCTTGGAGGACCAGGATTTGCTAACAACTCAGCAAAAGTTCCACACTCCTCATACATTAGGCATCCATAGAATGAAGGTGTCACAAAATCCTACAGTTGATACCACTTTATTTAGTTGTTGGAGGAAAATAGTATTAGGCTTAAGAATAATTTTTGTTTGTATTGCAGTTGACTACGCAAAAAGTTTACAACACAAGTAACTTGAAACCTCTACAATGAGGCTTCTTCAGAAGGAAGTTGTAGAAATGTGACCTTCTATTTAGAATCAAACTAAACCAGAGACAAACAAAATTAAACTGCCTGTTGTAACAGCATCTCTAGATATTGGAACTTCAACAATATTGACACTTACCCACAATAGAACTTCTCTCGAGAGTTTCATACTCCTTAAGATACTGGTTGAGCGAAGACTCGTCCTGGATGATCTCAGACGTGGGAAGAATGGATGTTTCATAGGCCAGCGACGGGGACAACTTGTTGTGAAACAGCCAAGACAATCCTGATGAGTTGTTCAGGTTGCCTGACATCACACCTAACAAAAACCGTTACCATAAACTATTTGGAAAAATGTTAATAAGCCACAAGTAAGACATATTTTTCCTAACTTAAACCTTCATTGGTTGAAAACTCTGTCAGTGATGGTAAAAATATTCTAAATAGTGTACATTTTTTTTGTCCCTTGTGGCTAAGATAGACTCTTTTACACTCAGTTAGGCCTGCTATCCAGAAAAAAGTCTCTGTTACAATACGGTAGGCATATGGACTACTTCAACTGAGCAAATCTTCAAAAGATTTACATAGCTTATTCCCTAGAAGGGTAAATAATCATTGTGTATGAAAGTAAAATTACTTTCTTTCTTTTGCTTTGATGAACCAAAGACATTTTGCTGATATACTTATGTATCTGCATTGTGCAATGGCCTTAACAAAGTGAGGTACCATTTTGGCTTTGTAAAAGATGTGAAAAACACTGATGGAAATAGAACATGTGGCTGGTTTTCAATGAGCAAAATCTGCCTTACTAGCCCAAAATGCTATCACTGTGTTGTGCTGCAGGCTGCAGTACAATAGACAATAATCTTTATTGGCATGTTCGTTGGGAACAGTACATGGGTCAGAATAATAACTAACATTTGTGGATTTAATATGTAGGTAAAGCTGGTAGTCAAGGAATTCTTTTTCTGAGTAGAATGGCCTTTCTAGTAGCCATGTTGTTAATTGGTTCTTGAAACGGTGAGTTTGTTAATTTCTAAGTTGTTCTGGTAGGTTGTTGAAATACAGGGCCCCTTTGTAGGATGGCTTAATTTCAAAGAGACTGCAAAGAAAAATAAAAAGACTCTGACTTCTACTTTTATATATTTACTCCTTGCAATGATCTCAAAGTTAATTCTTTACAAATCTTGGTTGCCCCTAGGTTGGAAGAACTTGGAAGTAATAATATAAGACAGAGCTTTGGCAGTGGAAGCTTGGTGTTAAAAAATATTTTGAGTGGGCCCTGTAAAATAAAATTATCCCCAGAAGTCCTTATGGGACGTCCCTGGTACTGTTTGAAGTTCTTCCAGGCTGAAATACCTTTGATATGAATCTTAATAAATAATCTTAATCTAAACTGAATTTAACCTACTTACTACCACACTAGTATTTAGTGTTGCACTTAAAAGGTGAATCTTTTGTAGTGACCTATGACTTACTGAATTGAACCATTATTAAACTATATAACTAATATTGCTAGTAACAAATTACCAAGGTAATTGAGAACTAAAAAGTGAGTAACAATTTGATTTATTGCACAGTACTAATGAAAGATACACTTGATTTTATGTTGACAATTGCTTGTTGTGTTAATGTGATACTGAATGACACAGAGTGCTACAATCAATTTAAAACCTGCTTTGATGTCAAATGGACCTATCAAAAGGGAAGTTACGGTGCGGTTGCACACTAATCACGAATGTGTCAACAGAGGGGTGATATTTAATTTAATGTTTGAGATGACTAGTACCCAGCAAATCCTGTTCGTTGGCCAAGGAATTAAAAAACTAAGGTCGAGTCTCGAAGTCCAACTGATTAAACAATGTTGTGTTTAATCGTAGTAGTATGTATTAGAATATTGCTTATTATTTTATGGCTAATTAGGTACTTTGGCGGTTCATCTATTTGTAAAACTGTCACAACCTCTAATAACACCTCCGCATCCAGTCGAACCAGCTACCTGCTCCCACTTTCGATATTACTTAATTTCCCCCAAATATTATAATGACTGTGGCACTCTTAAATAAATTCTGTTTGATGCTCAGCAAAATTAAACAATGGCTGTTAAGAATCTGTGTAAATAGATTAATTTGCAATTTACATTCAATATGACTACAAAACCCTATACAATTTAATTAATCCTATATCATTAGAGAGTCACAGTATAATAAACGATGCAGATTGATTTACAATAAATGGATATTAAAAATACTGATGGAAGCTGCAACCTGAGAACATGTGCTAGTATAACAGGAAATGACAAACTATAACAAGAAAAATTTACACATGTGCGACTCACTGAATTCTAATATTTAACAATAAATAACACAAATTACTTACAAACTTTGGACGTCCACAAAAACACTGACATAAACACAGGGATGAGGATGGGGAATTGTAACTAGACGGTTTTCCGAAAAAACGCGATCGATTTGATTTCGTGTGACGAACGTGAAATTTTCAAATGGCGGCTCGTGTTGGTCGGTAAAAACGAACTTTTAACACTTGTTTCGCAAAAAACTGATTCTATTTTCCACTCGCGTTGCAATTATATCCCTTCGGGATATAGGCTAAACAATTTTAAGAAAATGAAAATTTATTCGACCAACACCGCAAAATGAATTTAATTTGCACGATACAAAACTTTTTCCGACTAGTCACAAGGAAGGCAAGGAAACGACTCGACACTGGCGGCTGGGGCCCTACCCCTTCCACTTGTGTGGTTAGATAGCATTGTGGGTATCTGATCAGCTGACTATTTGTTGCGTCTGTTACATTAATTCGTTGTATTATACGACGAATCGGTACAAAACTTAGATGGTGAGGTGGTATTGCAAAGCTTGAGGTGTTCCGTGTATTGTGATGGTGAATGTCTCTGTTTCTTGTTTGATTTGTGGAGATGGCATGGAGAATTGCCTCAAGGATGTTTAAAGTGATGTCAGGTGAGGACTTTTAGTTCCTTAAATGCATCAAGACTGCTACCTTGATATTGAAGGTCTGCTGGACATCTTATAGCTCTTTTTTGGTGGATAATGACTCTTTTTAGGTAGTTGTTGGATGTACTTCCCCAGACCACCAGACCAAACCTGAGGTGTGACTCGACCAGGGCATGGTAGGCTGTTTTTGCAGTGTCCAGACCACCAACCTCCGTATTTGTTCACTTGACATCTTTGAAATGTTTGGGATTAAAGTATTTTACAGTTCAGTAGAAGCATTAAATTTCAAACCCTATGTGGAAAACTAGTTTGTTTGTTTATAAACAAGTTAAAGGAAATTACTAGCATCTTACTGACTTTGGTTAGGGAAGAGAGGAAATCAGTCGAAGTTTGAGATGTTGCCATCTTCAGAGTGACTTCCGCACAGTTGACATAAATCACACTAGATACACTTGACTTCTCTACACTTTACATACATAAGTGACCTTGGAAGCCTATCCAAGAAGATCGTTAGAAGTTTATAGCTAACTTTTGTTATCAATCAATCAACGTCTTTATTTCATAAAATGTACAGATTGGTACATGAAATTGTGTCAACATAAGTTTTTTTATCTAGATCGCTAAAACTAGGGATTTTATTTTTTTTATAAAAGAAAGGAAATGCTTGAGGCTGATACTTACTCTCATTGGGGTCGCCGCAGTGAGAGACTACAGAGCTGGAGAGCCAGCTGTTGGTAGACATGTTCAGTGGAGTTGTTGGAGAATCATACACCTGCTGTGGAGGCTTGACTGGCGTGGACGTTGCTGTCTTGAAGTAGTTGTCTACGACATCACAGAATGTGATAGGGTTACTTTGTTCACTTAACATAAGCCTTGCTCATATACCTAAGTTTGGGTAACTTTAATGAATTTGTTCTGTTCTTGTTTAATAGTTAGGACAATTTTAGATTTCATCAATAAGTACTGCATACAGGGTGTGCCCACTCCAACTTGAAGATGAAAATCATGGTCAGGCTATTCTACAGTTATTTACAATTATTTTTCCATATTTTTTTAGACATGATAAAGCTAACTTTATAATTTTTTTTAGGTAATATAACTTGGGCGCAGTACAGGCGGAATCGTGGTGGCATCGCTCAGCATAAAAAAATATTGTACAAAATTGACAAAGAACTAAAAATTATGTTTATTAATGAATCATAGAATATGCCAAGATATTATCATAACTTTAGATTGGTTAACAAGAAATCTGGTTCTGTGATTGTTATGGTACAAGCATTACAAGTCTCATGGGAGAATTTACTATCAATAAATTAAAACTCGTCCTTATCATCACACGTACATCAAATACCTACTTAAATAGAGGTGTTAAAAATATCAAAGCTATAATAATATAAGGCCTACATTTTACCTGAATCTTTAATACCCAGAAGTGTTTTTTGCCGAGGCGACAAAGCCACAGGCTGTAGGGTCAAATATGTCCAGAAGTAACGGCAAAAGTGAAACAGAGTGTTGAGGACAAGAATGACAGCAATGGTGCGTTCTATCATGTGTGCAGTCGGAGAATACAGCGGACAGGAGTAAACTCTAAAAATAAAAAAAAACATTCCTTAGTTATCTTATGTTAGAGTAAAAACTACGGCTTACCAAGAGGTTAGGTAGGAGAGACAAAAATTAATTATTAACTTTAGAATAGAATGTCTATTTTACCATACTGTAAAAAACTATAAAGTTTACTTACATATCATAAGCGATCACAGAGAGAATAGCAGCATTAATGAATCCCCAAAAAAGACTATCTCGCATTTTCCTAGTTTCCTTTGTTATAACCATTGTTTGTTCCATTTGCGGCATTGTTTTGCTTCTGAAGTAGGTGGGCGTAACTGGCGAACTCTGCATGATTCTGTCAGTAAAAATAGTCATATGTACAACACTAGTACAAATGTACCTAAAATATGAACCGTGCCCTCGTACCTGCACCCAGGCCAACGACTTTGAGGGGTGAATCCATGTGCAGGCCTGAGGAGCGGCTCACAAAAAGTGAGAACCATGGATGGAGGTTCAAGAACAATGCACTATTTGAGAGAAACGAGCTGTAATAACAATTTAAATTAACACAACAAACATCAACAATAATACATGAAACTCTAAAAAAAATTTAAATAATTTAGCTACCCATCTAAACACATTAATTATAGTTGAGCCGTGACTACTTTCCTCCGGCGAATGTCACGACTTAAAAAGTCAATAGCTATGTCCACACTCGTGTCCTTTTTTTGTGTGTGCCAAGCGCCTGCCTCTTTATGCTTGCATTATTAACGCAGATGGAAGCAAGTGACGCATACGTCAAGGCATGCCCGAAATGAGTTGGAAGGAGCTCCATTCCATAGCGAACAGCGTAGAGCAAGACAATCCACCAGCCTTGAATATCTGTGCGTTTCAACTTGCAGCTTTACATTTTTGACAAGTCGTCCGTGTTGTAATTGTTTGAAGCATATTGAATAGGTAACTAAGAAAGCTCAGAAGATTATCGCTCTCATGTATGTTTATGGGACATACGGATTAGTAAAATTAATTATAAAATAAATAATTTAATTAAAGTAAATAAAATTAATTTAAATTTAATTAAATCCATAAATAAATTAAATAAAATAAGAAACTTTTGAGTTTTGTAGTACTTATCCACATTTCCTGCCATGATTATTCCTTACGTTTTGGAACTTTTCTTAATACTAAAAATGCCGCACTATCCCTCCTATCAGAATAGCGTCGTCTTCACCCAATTAGGAAAAGTTATCTTGAAAGACCATTTTAATTTTTCTTCTATTCAGCTAGAAACATCTGATTAAACCAAGACTGTTACACAGTACAATTACTTACAATACAGTAAACTCCCTCTTATCCGGACTCCTTGGGCCGAGGCCAGTCTGGATAACGGATTCTCCGGTTAAACCGACGTCCCAAAAACTCGTTAAAACTGACTGTTTACTGTGATATTTGACTTAAATTTAGGAGATCATTGTATCTAGGCACATGATTTTGATCACTGGTCTCAAATCTTTCCCACGAGAAATGTTGTTTCAGTACCGTCCACTTCCTGCCGATCTAGTCCGTTTAAACCAATGTGCTGATAAAAATTGTCCGGTTAAAGAGATGTCATTTCCGCCGAGTGTAGTCCGGTTAAACCGATGTCCGGATAAGAGGGAGTCTACTGTATGTGAAACTGTTTCAGTTCAGTTTCAAGCGACAAAATACAGTTGAATTTTTTAGTTCACGGGTATTATAATCATATAGTAGCCAACACAAAGTAGACTTCTTATCCCATTGTAATGTTTGAAGCTAACTTTTCATGTGTAGTTCATGTTAGTGATACTGGGCGCTAGTATCGACAACATTTTGTTTTTACTTTAGGGTTTATTTCATGATTTGTGCTTCACTGTTTGGTTAATAGCTAGGGGATGGGTGATTGTTTATGATTACAACTGAAACATACACACAAGTGTCCCCCCAGCTAAGTCACCTCAGCAGACATTTTCAGAAGCTGCCATAAGGAAATGAGCAAGTCAATTTCAATTACCCAAAACATTCTTTTTAGAGCAAAATTGCAACAAAGAGTCTAACTTAAATGAGTAAAAAAAGTTATGCATAAATGTTCACTGTTGTTTGTTGACTTGTGGTAGTAAGTGCTTTTAAAACCAACTAGCCTTTAACCAAAGAATAAATTAGGCCTAATCTGTTGGTTTTAAATTAGAATTTAAAATGAACAAAAATACATTTAATGTCATTAGGCCCTACTGTATAACACTCACCTTTATTTAGGTTTTTGGTGAACACAGAAAATATAAATATGTTCCAGTAAAATCCTAACAGGCTACTCTTATTCTCAATCCTTTATTTAAAATAGTCTCTGGAGCAAGGCAGGTCTTCTATTTCGTATGTGTAGCCTACGACGTCAACCTGTATTGAACATGAAGTAGTCTGATGAGAAACATAAAAAAACTGTACTACAATAAGTCTCTAAAAAGTACCGTACTTAAAGTAGATTATTGGTTAGATAAGTTAGGCTTAACAGCTTCGTACAAAAGTGAAGGCAGCGTTGGCTCAAAAACTAAACTAATAGAATAACACTTTTTTAAATTTGTTAGACTAGGCCTTCAATCAAACCACAAAAGAAACTGAAACATTAAAAACTATTTCATACATTAAAAATTGCCAAGACTATAGGCTACAGTTGGATTGTACAGATTGTAAGTTATTTAACTTAAAAGGTAGATGTAGGTAGGTAGGTAGTGTTAGGTAAGTGTAGGTAGTATTTTAATTCTAGGCTATTCTATGTTACAGTCACACGAGAGAAATTTATTTATTTATATTTTATAAAATTGGAGATGTCAGTTGGTAAGTTATGTAAAATAAAATAAAATGTACCTAGATATAACTAAGTTAGATAGATTATAATGTAGGTAGCCTATCACTATCTATAATGAATGACAGGTTAATACAAGGTTTAAATAAGTATACTTTAACTTTTACATTTTTTTTATTAGGAGGGGATTGGCAGCCTACACTTATAGTCTGTGAGGTTGGCGAAGGACTCTGAGGGATTAAAGTCCCTTCCACCAACGCACGCGCACTCGCTAGCAGGGCCCTACCTACCCCACGGCGCGTGACCCATGTGTGTGTTTGTAGGTGTGTCTCTGTGTGTAATCCCTGGCTGTAATCCCTTAGAGTCCTACGCTTACCTCACGGACTATACCTAGTGTTAAGTCATTTTGAATGTGCACACTCATTAACCACTTGTGGGCTTAGAATAACTTTCTAATAAGTTCAATTTTTTTGATACAAGACAACTCTTTGTTATTCAACTCCATCTAAAAATACAGTCTTTGAAGTTATAACAGTAGCCTAAGTTAGATATTTCCAATTAGTCTAGGTCTACCTTATTACCAAGGCTGCATTTTTGACCAGCATGCCTGGATAAACTGCGTCAATTTATAAAGAAACTTACAAGGATAATTTTTAATGAATAAAAATAAAATGATTTCAAACAAAACTTGGCAGGTGACTACGGAGGTGATATGCACCCTACCGTTTGTCATAAAAATACTCTTTTATGGGTCAACTCAATCCATTTCATGGAGTTAACGGTAAGCTTTTTGAAGAAGCCTATCTCGTACAACCCTGGCAAAAATCTTTCTACGAAGACTGCTGATCTTTGGGGGGAGCTTGTTGTTCAGCTTCCAAGAAAAAGCAGAGAACGGCTCTGTGTTTCTATGAGGTGGAATCTAGGAATATCAATTAACTTGTAGGTACTGGTAAATGCTTCTGCTTCTTGAGTACGGTAGCTCAATGTTCAACATGACGTTTACAAGGGAGGAGAATAGGTTATATACTGACCAAACACAGTAAGCACCTTTAGCCTTAAAATTTGAGGTTTCCGATTTAATTTTCTGTCTATGGCAAAAAGTTCACTTCTCTCTCCTTAAGTCTGTGGCCCAAAAGTTTAACTTGTTGGGGGTGGTGGTGTTGTGTTTGGCTGCGCGCCCACTGGGTCGGTACGGTACAAGAATTTTTATAAGTTAAAAAAATTTAATTAAATGAGCATGCGCCCACTGCGTCGTCACGGCATTTCGGACCTTCAGGATGTCCGATAGAAAGTCTGGAGCTACGAACTCCAGGACACTTCCGTGACGGCGGATCTGTCCTAACTTATGAATGACTTACCAAGTTATTTCGTAAAAATATATCCTCAATAATAGAATACAAGTGCAAAGATCTGAAGAATGCAATATCTTACGGGAAAATGAAGCAACTGTCATCAACATAGCCTAACCTAAAAGATAGGCATGTGTGATGTATCCACAATTAACATGGCTTACCTTTACTAAAGCATGTAGTTTTTTTTATATCGATCAGTTAACTTAAATATACCTGTTTATGGCCATTCCAATAGATTTAAAACTACCAATTAAATTATAATATGTATGTAAACGACACTAACAATACAGGGCCTAGCCTAACCTCCACTCCAAACAGAATTCATTTAATTTCAAATTGTTTTTGGTTTTTTTTTTGTTTTTTTTTTTGGATGATTCGTAGATTTGATTTCGGTCGGTGAAAAGGTGAAAACTTGCAGTGTACATTGTGGTGTGTAGCTGTGCAACTCATCTGTGCATGCTTAGATTAAAAAAGAACATAAATAAAACTGGTTCATGTCCGGTGACACTGACCGCTATGTTTTATAGGATAATAGTTGATTATATAAAATAAACTTATTGTCAATTAAATTATTTAAGACAGTGACGTTTGATCAGGCAAGCACGAATTTAGACGTCAGAACTCCTGCGTGAATTATCTATCAACTGATTTTGTTAGTTTGTTTATGGACCATACAAATCATTAAATAGAGTTAGCTTCGTCAATCAGCTCATAGTAGTATTACAATGTTACGGCCGTATCAGCATCTTCGTGCCATTATCAGTCGTTCAGCCTCAGTGGTGTCGTTAATATACAAAAACACAAACTGTCACACGTGACGTACACATAAGAAGATGCTGAAACGGCCGTAACATTGTAATACTTACCGAGTTGATTGACGAAGATCATGTAGATCGAAGATCAATCATGTGACGAAGATCATGTCTTAATGATTTAGTCACAAGATCAGCTCAGGGACTAAAAAATATGGATTTAAAGTTTAACATTTGATTAAGCTGGTGGCAAACAGCTGTTTTCTGGACTAAATCCTTATTGCGTGGGAAGTTCGTTAAAATAGTGTAGTGTGGCGTAAAAACATTTGTTTTTCAAGACATTCTAGGAAACACCTGTTACAAACATTTATTGACTTAGTTTAAATGAATTAATTACATTATTGTTGCCTAAAGTTACCTACCTGGCAGAGGGATTTCTTGCACTGATTATAGGACGAAAATAAGTAGCTAATTAAAAGCTAATTAAAGTAGCTGATGTTGATACCTGTTTGCCACACTTTTTTTACTTTGTCACGTTCATTTTAGTTTGCCGCACCCTTCAACCAAACAACACAAACACGTGTGATTGTATTAGGCACTTGGTAGGCCTCTAGGGCCTAACCACGGCCGCCTTTAACTCCAGGCCGTGGCCTTCGAAGTGACAACGTCGCAAGTAGGGTTGTGACAGCTGTTTTGTTTGGAAGCAACTGATGATATTTGTGTATTTACAAAGGCTTGGTTACTGGACACGTTACTGGACTATAAAAATATTGATTCCGCTTAAAATGTACAGATATAGATTTTATTAATGTAATTGTTTTGGTTTTCAATTCTGTATGTCTTATATGCAACATTTTAATAAATTTATGTTCATTAATTTAAATTTAAATCAATAAAGTGCAAATTAATGAGCTGATGTCACCTGTCTGCCATGTTACCTTATGAGATGTCCGACACTAAACAACCCTACTTGCGACGTTGCCAATTCTACGTGCATGCCTGAAAAGACGCTGGTAACACATACATACGACCATGACCATAGATTAAAAGAGTAGACAGGAGCTGTCTACTCCTTTAATCTTTGCTACGACTACGATCAGCTGACTATACGTAAGAATATGTGATTCCATTATTTGTTTACCTTAAAATTTTGTCTATGAATATGATGAAGCGCCTTCGTTTTGTGATTGATAAATCAAACTTAATTCCTAATCACTAGTTTGGATTTCGGCAAGAACATTCTGCCATTGAGCAGGTCCATCGGGTGGTGGATGTTATCAAAGAGGATATCGGGACAAAGAAGTTTTGTTCTGCTGTGTTCATTGACGTAAGTCAAGCGTTTGACAAGGTTTGGCATACTGGTTTACTCTACAAACTAAAACGTAATCTTCCTCACACATTTTTCAATCTCATGAGGTCTTACCTTTTCAATCGACACTTCAGAGTAAAATTTGGTGATATTGTTTACCCACTTCACGAAATTCGAACAGGAGTTCCCCAGGGAAGTGTTCAAGCGTCCTAGCATGGGTGGGACATCTTATTTATGTTTTGTATCTTTCTTATTTATCTACTCAATTTGCCATTTAAACTTTTGCATAACCTGCTTTAATATGCAAATATCATTTTTAAGAAAACCTCTTTAAAAGCAAATAAAAATGGTTTACAATTATTTATTTTTGTACTCTTCTATAGGCTGCTATCTGGAGTAAAATGGCTGGATGATAACAGTTTCAATACCATCATTTAAGTCCTGGGTAGGCTATACTCGTTGAAGGAGTACTTCGAAGATAGCTTTGGCAATCTTATCTAGCCAACAAATCACTGAGCAATAAATCCAGCTACACTAGTCAATGATGAAAACTTCAAGTATCAAGTAAGTTGTGCTGTTTTGTACCATCCCCAAAACCAAGCGATAAAATAATTACCAGTCCCGAAGTCAGAATTTTTATCCAGGAAATATCTAGTTAGTATAAAAATAAATCCCCTAATATACAGTTTAAAAAAGTTAAAGAATCCTCATTTATCTTTCTATAATTTGCCCTATTTACTTTGTTGTAAACTTAGCTACCTACCTAATGTAATGTGTGATATTAATTATTCTTCACTGTCATTATGATAGAAACACTTTTTAATACTTAACCCATAGGCCTGTCCTCTGCGTTATCTATGTTATATGTCCCCAATACATAATTTTCAAAAGTCTGCACCAATTTCAAGCTTTGCTATGGCTTTTTACTTTAACGTTTTAATAGTAAGGTAGGTCAACAGTTGGCTTTAAATAGAAGGAATTCAGCTAACAAGGTGTATTTTCTTATTATACTTGGTGATGATACGGTCCTTTCGCATAAGGGTTTTCGCCATCCGGTTATAACCGTACGGTATGTTTCTTTCACATTCTGATCGCAAGGTGAGTTGAATGTGTACGGTACAACTACACAATAAACATAAACAGTGTCCATTTGACAACCCAGAGTGTAACGAATAACATAAACAGTGCAACAGCTGATTTTTGCAGTTTACATTGGTCTCCCGTTCGATTTCGACAAACAACCGTGTGGGAGCAACATTAGCTACTATAGTAGTACTATAGTATATAGTATATACTATAGCTACTATAGTATATAGTAGTGACGCACGCACGACCGCGGTGCCAGCTACCTTCCGCCGGACCATGTGACTGAAATTCACTTAGTTTGCAGGTTTGCTGTGGTGGGGGTATTTTATTATAAATAGGGCTACTGATTAAACATCCAGTACATGTCAGGTTTGGTTATTATCAATGCCACAAGTTAAACTATTCCTAAAATACCCCCGCCGCAGCAAACCTGCCGACTAAGCGAATTTCCATTTGTCTGAATTGATTTTCAGTTAAATATATTTTAATAACATTAGGTTTAACGAGTACCTAGGTTTGCTGCTACAAGGAAACTAATAAAGTGTGTTTTTGAGTAAAATATTGATAGCTTAGTACAAAATAAATAAATTTGCCAAGTTTGATCAAAATATATTCATAAACAAGCAAACTACAACATTTGACAATATTCTCCATAAGAATAACATGGTAATTTTAAATTTACAATTTTTTTAATTTTCTCCGTTACTAATAATCGAACAAAAATACTTTTACATACTAAATTATTTGTTTTTTTAAGCTCTTTAAAAAGGTCTAAAGAGAAATTGGGAAATTTTGTGTTTTGAGGGTCAAAAGTGAGAAAAACCAATTTTTACCCCATAAAACCCCCTGTAAAGCCCCGTTTCCATGGTCCGATCGTGCTGGTTCGCGAACTCATTCAAGTTTATCCCGCCTTACACCTTTAAACCAAATTTCATCAAAATCGGACAAAAATTACTCAAGTTATCGCGTTCACGGACGTATATATATATATATATATATATATGTATGTATATATGTGTCTATATATATATATATATACATATATAAAAATTTGAACGAATAGTGTTTTTGGCCTCTGGGGACATCAAAATGAAAAAGTAAATCGGTCCCGGGTCTAGGTCTTACCGTGCCACCTACGGTAATAGCTACTTCCCTATAGGGAAATTCGCTAAAACTTAAAAATAGTCTCAGTAGTAGACAATTATGTCAGTATAATTAACTGTGTTGCCCCCAGCATTAGGTTTTGCAGTAGGCATCTCCTCATAAAAACGATTATACCATGTGATTAGACAAATGATGTAGAATGTTGTACCATAGATAAAACATACGCTCTTGGTTAGTCTATGGTTGTGCAGAATAAATGCACTAGATAATGTGTTAAATAACAACAATAATAAACACAATGATTTATTGGACTAATAACAAGGTAGGTAATACGAGAAACGAAGCATAACATGTTATTGAGCGTTAACATTCTTAAACTGTAGACAAACTAGATAATCCAGATAGAAAATTAGTAAAAACTAGATGTAGATAGGTTTACGGGCAGAACGGGACCTTCGCGGCAGGTGCATGGACTAAATTAGCATATTGCATAGTATAACTGGTTTGATCTCGGCGACCAATTCTGCGGATCTAGCCAAGGTTCGATTAAGAGAGGCGTTCGATTTGTCTGTTGAATTATGTAAAATAGTAATACCATAGCAATCACACCCCCTTTAAATAATCTTTATGTATCTGTTGAAGACAATTGAAAGGGATTTTGTATTATGTGGAGTGAATTTTGGCGATTACTACTCTTTCTGCAACTTTACAGAGTTCTTGACCATTTCAACCAATAAAGTGATTAATTAATAATTTGTTGCTTTCCCATTGTAACCAAAGAGCAAAATCATTTTAAAGACATTACCATAAAAGAGGAAACTATATTTTTTACAAGAGCGCACCACCTTACTCAAACGTTATCGGGGATTAACCACATTCAGCTGTTATAGAAGAAGATCTACGTTTGACGCAGATCAATGTAGATAAGTTAACTGCGGTTTCCATAGTCAATGGCGATATTTTAATATTTACCCTATTTTGCTGCTTAACACATTCATGATTTATAGCTCAGCAATCATTTTTCATGAAGTTTGACATTTATAACTAACTAG